TGTAGGATCTTCATTTGATCACCCTGTTACAGGATAACTTTCTTGCAATGCAGGACATTTAAAACTTGTAGTGTATTTGAGGTTTAAAAAGGCTTCTGAAGTTCGTAATTTTGACTTTGAAATTTCAGACTTGATTTTCCCTTACGAAAAACGTATCAACTCCTACACAAATGTCCATTAATTAATTATAATCCACAGAATAATTCACATGTCCTGTTGCTGCAGGATTATTTTCCTGCTGTAGCAATCTGGCTCAAATGAAGGTCCTACATATCTGTATCTTATACACACAAAGTGGCAGCAATGTAAAGTATTGTAATGTCTGATCCTCCTCTTGCTCTATGCCAACCCTATCACTTCCCTTTGAATCCCTCATTCATAACCCTGACTTTATGGTTAGAAACATCTCTGTCTGAGCCAGTAAGAGCCCTCTCTGTCTCTGTCCCCTGCCTCCTGTCTCCTTTTCTCACATTCACTCACTTCCTCACAGCAGCTTCCTCACTTCCTCATGCTGTCCCCTCCAGTCAGTCACAATGCACACATCCTGATCCCGGCCTAAAGCTCTCAGTCTCTACTGTGGTCTTCCTCTCAGCCTTCTCAGTCTAGCTCAGACCTGCCCAACCCAGACACTAAACACTAAACACATAGACATACACATATACAGTACATTACACCAAACTCAGCTCAGACATACACCGGCTACACACAGACACACTTTAAACAATTCAATAAGTGATTAGATTAATTATAAGAGTGATAGAGAAAATGAGAGAGAGAGAGAGAGAGAGAGAAGAGAGAGAGAGAGAAGAGAGAGAGAGAGGAGATAGAGCGTAACATTGAAGATCCCGCTTGACTATCTCTTTCTTATCTCTCTACGTCTTTCTCATTTCTCTATCTCTATATCTCTATCTCTCTCTCTCGATCTAAGATCCTATATATATATAGAATAAATCTATTGCCCCTTATGACAAGCTGACTATAGGTCTACAGTCCTACAGATGTTTGAAATGAAAACATGTTTCAAGGGGAAAATACACAGTGGCATATAGTTACCTTGAAGAGTTGGTCCTGTACCTTGGCTGTTTGGTGTGTGAATATACAGTATGCAAGCTATCTACTGCTCTTAGGGTGTTTGAACTGTGTGTGAATATATCTACTTCTCTAAGCAGTGATGTCATAGGCTTCAAATTTTCAGAACAATTGGCGTCTTCCTGTGCTTCCTGTGCCATAGTCCCGACTGACTGCAGGGATAGATAGAGATTACACACACACACACACACACACACACACACACACACGAACACACACACACAAAGGACTCAGTTTAGCTACAAACAGCTGTAATTATTTCAGCAGTCATTGTCAAAGCCACCGACGGAAAACAGAGTGTATGAAAAGAAGAGAGAGCGAGGGCAGCACGATAAGAGGGTCAGATACTATATGTTGTGTTGTGATAGAATATAAAAGCCTGGGAACTTGATCCACATACCATAAGAGGGTCAGATACTGTATGTTATGTTGTGATAGAATATAAAAGCCTGGGAACTTGATCCACATACCATAAGAGGGTCAGATACTATATGTTATGTTGTGATAGAATATAAAAGCCTGGGAACTTGATCCACATACCATAAGAGGGTCAGATACTGTATGTTATGTTGTGATATAATATAAAAGCCTGGGAACTTGATCCACATACCATAAGAGGGTCAGATACTATATGTTATGTTGTGATAGAATATAAAAGCCTGGGAACTTGATCCACATACCATAAGAGGGTCAGATACTGTATGTTATGTTGTGATATAATATAAAAGCCTGGGAACTTGATCCACATACCATAAGAGGGTCAGATACTATATGTTATGTTGTGATAGAATATAAAAGCCTGGGAACTTGATCCACATACCATAAGAGGGTCAGATACTGTATGTTATGTTGTGATAGAATATAAAAGCAAGGGAACTTGATTCACATACCATAAGAGGGCCAGATACTGTATGTTATGTTGTGATAGAATATAAAAGCCTGGGAACTTGATCCACATACCATTAGAGGGTCAGATACTGCATGTTATGTTGTGATATAATATAAAAGCCTGGGAACTTGATTCACATACCATAAGAGGGTCAGACACTGTATGTTATGTTGTGATAGAATATTAAAGCCTGGGAACTTGATTCACATACCATAAGAGGGTCAGATACTGTATGGTATTTTGTGATAGAATATAAAAGCCTGGTAACTTGATTCACATACCATAAGAGGGTCAGCTACTGCATGTTATGTTGTGATGGAATATAAAAACCTGGGAACTTGATTCACATACCATAAGAGGGTCAGATACTGTATTTTATGTTGATATAGAATATAAAGCCTGGGAACCTGATCCACATACCATTAGAGGGTCAGATACTGCATGTTATGTTGTGATATAATATAAAAGCCTGGGAACTTGATTCACATACCATAAGAGGGTCAGACACTGTATGTTATGTTGTGATAGAATATAAAAGCCTGGGAACTTGATTCACATACCATAAGAGGGTCAGATACTGTATGGTATTTTGTGATAGAATATAAAAGCCTGGTAACTTGATTCACATACCATAAGAGGGTCAGCTACTGCATGTTATGTTGTGATGGAATATAAAAACCTGGGAACTTGATTCACATACCATAAGAGGGTCAGATACTGTATTTTATGTTGATATAGAATATAAAGCCTGGGAACTTGATCCACATACCATTAGATGGTCAGATACTGTATGTTATGTTGTGATAGAATATAAAAGCCTGGGAACTTGATTCACATACCATAAGAGGGTCAGATACTGTATATTATGTTGTGATAGAATATAAAAGCCTGGGAACTTGATTCACATACCATAAGAGGGTCAGACACTGTATGTTATGTTGTGATAGAATATAAAAGCCTGGGAACTTTATCCACATACCATAAGAGGGTCTGATATTGTATGTTATGTTGTGATAGAATATAAAAGCCTGGGAACTTGATTCACATACCATAAGAGGGTCAGATACTGTATGTTATGTTGTGATAGAATATAAAAGCCTGGGAACTTGATTCACACACCATAAGAGGGTCAGATACTATATGTTATGTTGTGATAGAGTATAAAAGCCTGGGAACTTGATTCACATACCATAAGAGGGTCAGACACTGTATGTTATGTTGTGATAGAATATAAAAGCCTGGGAACTTTATCCACATACCATAAGAGGGTCTGATATTGTATGTTATGTTGTGATAGAATATAAAAGCCTGGGAACTTGATTCACATACCATAAGAGGGTCAGACACTGTATGTTATGTTGTGATAGAATATAAAAGCCTGCGAACTTGATCCACACACCATAAGAGGGTCAGATACTGTATGTTATGTTGTGATAGAATATAAAAGCCTGGGAACTTGATTCACACACCATAAGAGGGTCAGATACTATATGTTATGTTGTGATAGAATATAAAAGCCTGGGAACTTGATTCACATACGATAAAAGGGTCAGATACTGTATGTTATGTTGTGATAGAATATAAAAGCCTGGGAACTTGATTCACATACAATAAGAGGGCCAGATACTGTATGTTATGTTGTGATAGAATATAAAAACCTGGGAACTTGATTCACATACCATAAGAGGGTCGGATACTGTATGTTATGTTGTGATAGAATATAAAAGCCTGGGAACTTGATTCACATACCATAAGAGGGTCAGACACTGTATGTTATGTTGTGATAGAATATTAAAGCCTGGGAACTTGATCCACATACCATAAGATGGTCAGATACTGTATGTTATGTTGTGATAGAATATAAAAGCCTGGGAACTTGATTCACATACCATAAGAGGGTCAGATAGTGTGTGTTGTGTTGTGATATAATATAAAAGCCTGGGAACTTGATTCACATACCATAAGAGGATCAGATACTGTATGTTATGTTGTGATAGAATATATAAGCCTGGGAACTTGATTCACATACCATAAGAGGGTCAGACACTGTATGTTATGTTGTGATAGAATTTAAAAGACTGGGGACTTGATTCACATACCATAAGAGGGTCAGACACTGTATGTTATTTTATGATAGAATATAAAAGCCTGGGAACTTGATTCACATACCATAGCTAGCTAATTTGAGTGTCAGACTGTTTGTTCATACTTGCTATGGCGTTTACACGTGAACATTTGTGTTGAAATATGTTTCAAGAAGCACATGAGGATGACCTGTTTAGACTTGTTAATGTCATTCATGGAACGCTAATAACAGTCATGTAAACTATTGACAGATTGGTTAAAGGGATATTGGTGATTTAAGCTTGTTATTGATTTGTGTGAGTTGTAATCTCAACAAGGCTATTGTTCCACACACACGGTCTGGATATTCAATACATGCAGGCAATAGCCGCTGGCTAGCGGTAGAGGAGGGTTAGATAAAATTACACGGACATTCTTCACATTCCCTTAGAGCAGTGATGTGTCCCAAACGGCTCCCTATTCCCTGTATAGTGCACTACTTTTGACCAAGTGCACTACTTTTGCCCAGGACCCAAAAGTAGTGCACTATGTAGGGAATATTGGTTGCCATTTGGGATGCAGACCAGATCTACATTCTTTCTCCGGCCTATCTGCTCATGGCACCATCACTGCCCCAGCCAACACACGCACACACACACACACACACACGCACACGCACACACACACACACACACACACGCACACACACACACACACATGCACACGCACACACACACACGCACACACACTTTTAAACCTAAACCTAACCCACTGACACAACTGTTATTTCTTATTAGCTTAAAACAAGTTTCATAAGCTTTGCATATTGTCTGCACTCACTCACGTGCACATCATACCCCTCACAACATCAACTATAGAGTGGGAGGAATGCTTAATGAGGACCCAGAGGGAGTTTATGTAGTGGTGACAGTGGGTGTAGAGGGCCAGGCTCTGCTATCTACCTTATCTAGAGGAGAGAGAGAAAGAGGAAGAGGAGAGAGAGGGAGGGGAAGAGGAGAGAGAGGGAGGGGAGAAGAAAGAGAGGGATAGAAAGAAGAAAAGGACCAGAGAGAGAGAGAGCCTGAGAACGACAGAGAGAGGGAGACGGAGACAGAGGAAAAAGAGAGAGAGAGCCTGAGAACGACAGAGAGAGGGAGACGGAGACAGAGGAAAAAGAGAGAGAGAGAGCCTGAGAACGACAGAGAGAGGGAGACGGAGACAGAGGAAAAAGAGAGAGAGGGCCTGAGAATGAAAGAGAGAGGGAGACGGAGACAGAGGAAAAAGAGAGAGAGGGCCTGAGAACGACAGAGAGAGAGAGACGGAGACAGAGGAAAAAGAGAGAGAGAGAGTTCTTAGCGCTATCAGTAGGAATCTCAAAACAGGAAGGCCAGCTCCAGTAAACAAGAGCAGCAGAAGAGGAGCACAGTTCTACTTCCTTTCCCAACTACAGAGGAAACAACAGATTTTTTAGGAATTCTAATCTGCACCAACACACTCTAGCAGTCGACACTGAATAAAACCCACTTCCACTGGCTATCTGAGGAACTCTTCTCTTAATAACAGGACTATCAGGACTGCCTTCTGGTATTATAAAACTTCTTAGCAGCTCACCTTTATTTAGTCTAATAGGCATGTGTTGTTTCTTGAATGGTGTCCTCACTTTCGGTGTTTAGTCTGTTCCCTTTAACATGTTTCTGTTCAGTTGTGTGTGTGTGTGTAGTCTCCCTCTCTGTGGCAGCCAGGAGTGTGATTGGTGTGTGTTTGGAGATGTGGGGCAGATGTTTATCCCAGTCCTGGGTTGTTATCTTCTCTGTAGTTATCTGGCCCTCCATCTCCATCTAGCCTGGGGCTGGACTGGGTTACGCTGGACTGGGCTGGGTTAGGCTGGGGCTGGGCTTGGTTAGACTGGGTTAGGCTGGGACTGAGATGGGTTAGGCTGGGGCTGGGTTAGACTGGGTTAGGCTGGGGCTGGGTTAGGCTAGGGCTGGGCTGGGTTAGACTGGGTTAGGTTGGGACTGAGCTGGGTTAGGCTGGGGCTGGGCTGGGTTAGGCTGGGTTAGGCTGGGACTGAGCTGGGTTAGGCTGGGGCTGGGCTGGGTTAGGCTGGGTTAGGCTGGGACCGTGCTGGGTTAGGCTGGGGCTGGGCTGGGTTAGGCTGTGTTAGGCTGGGACTGAGCTGGGTTAGTCTGGGACTGAGCTGGGTTAGGCTGGGGCTGGGCTGGGTTAGGCTGGGTTAGGCTGGGACTGAGCTGGGTTAGACTGGGTTAGGCTGGGACTGGGTTAGGCTGGGTTAGGCTGGGACTGAGCTGGGTTAGTCTGGGACTGAGCTGGGTTAGGCTGGGGCTGGGCTGGGTTAGGCTGGGTTAGGCTGGGACTGAGCTGGGTTAGACTGGGTTAGGCTGGGACTGGGTTAGGCTGGGTTAGGCTGGGACTGAGCTGGGTTAGGCTGGGGCTGAGCTGGGTTAGGATGGGGCTGGGTTTGACTGGGCTCAGTTTGTGGATCAACACTGTTTCCTCTCTTTCCTGTGTTTGTGTCTTGTCAGATATCTATCATCCTGGTAAGACTTTTCTTTAGTAATTCTATGGTAGCCATGTTAGCGTCCCATTAACATTACATGGGGAATATTTAAATAATGCCACATGTAGGCTAACTGTATGTCTAGAATTAGAACAATCCCAAAAATAAAACAGTTGGCTCAACTCTTTAAACAAACAGCAGGAAGCAGATTGTACAGTCAACTTCCTGCCAGCTCTTGACTATGGTGACACCAGAATGATGCAGCAGCCACTACTCTAAAACCTTTGGGTGCCATCTACCATAGCGCCCTTCGCTTTATCACAGGTGACAGGTTTAATACTCACCACTGCATCCTGTATCAGAAGGTCGGCTGGTCCTCATTAAGGCCCTGTAGATCACTTTACAAAGCTCTGCTCCACAAGCTTCCAACTTACCTCACTTTGTTGCTAATGTATAAAAGAATGAGCTACCAAACCCACTCGCTGGATTGGTTAACTCTTGAGGTCCCTCTAGTCTATATGGATCTAGGTAAATCTGTCTACAGGTTTAGTGCCCTCCATTTTTTTAATAACCTACAAAACTCCACTACTATAACTATAACCAGTCACTTAACCTGAAGAAAAGGTTTTGAAATAAGTTACAGTAGTGGTAGTGACTGGTTATAGTTATAGTAGTGGTAGTGACTGGTTATAGTTACATTATTGGTAGTGACTGGTTATAGATATAGTAGTGGTAGTGACTCCAGTAGTAATGGTATTGACTGGTTATAGTTATAGTGGTGGTAGTGTCTGGTTATAGTTATAGTAGTGGTAGTGTCTACAGTAGTAATGGTTGTGACTGGTTATAGTGAAAGTCGTGGTAGTGTCTGGTTATAGTTATAGAAGTGGTAGTGACTGCAGTAGTAATGGTAGTGACTGGTTATAGTTATAGTAGTGGTAGTGACTGCAGTAGTAATGGTAGTGACTGGTTATAGTTATAGTAGTGGTAGTGTCTGGTTATAGTTACAGTAGTGGTAGTGACTGGTTATAGTTATAGTAGTGGTAGTGTCTGCAACCTCCCGAGTGGCGCAGTGGTCTAAGGCACTGCATTGTTGCTGTGCTGCTAGAGATCCTGGTTCGAATCCAGACCCATCGGGCGGCGCACACTTGGCCCAGCGTCGTCCAGGGTAGGGGAGGGAATGGCCGGCAGGGATGTAGCTCAGTTGGTAGAGCATAGCGTTTGCAACGCCAGTGTTGTGGTTTTATTTTTTATTTTTTTATTTCACCTTTATTTAACCAGGTAAGCCAGTTGAGAACAGGTTCTCATTTACAACTGCGACCTGGCCAAGATAAAGCAAAGCAGTGCAATAAAAACAACACAGAGTTACATATGGGGTAAAAAACATAAAGTCAAAAATACAACAGAAAATATATATACAGTGTGTGCAAATGTAGCAAGTTATGGAGGTAAGGCAATAAATAGGCTATAGTGCAAAATAATTACAATAGTATTAACACTGGAATGCTAGATGTGCAAGAGATTATGTGCAAATAGAGATACTGGGGTGCAAAAGAGCAAAATAAATAACAATCTAGGGATGAGGTAGTTGGGTGGGCTAATTTCAGATGGGCTGTGTACAGGTGCAGTGATCGGTAAGGTGCTCTGACAACTGATGCTTAAAGTTATTGAGGGAGATAAGAGTCTCCAGCTTCAGAGATTTTTGCAATTCGTTCCAGTCATTGGCAGCAGAGAACTGGAAGGAATGGCGGCCAAAGGAGGTGTTGGCTTTGGGAATGACCAGTGAGATATACCTGCTGGAGCGCAGACTACGGGTGGGTGCTGCTATGGTGACCAATGAGCTAAGATAAGGCGGGGATTTGCCTAGCAGTGATTTATAGATGGCCTGGAGCCAGTGGGTTTGACGACGAACATGTAGTGAGGACCAGCCAACAAGAGCGTACAGGTCACAGTGGTGGGTAGTGTATGGGGCTTTGGAGACAAAACGGATGGCACTGTGATAGACTACATCCAATTTGCTGAGTAGAGTGTTGGAGGCTATTTTGTAAATGACATCGCCGAAGTCAAGGATCGGTAGGATAGTCAGTTTTACGAGGGCATGTTTGGCAGCATGAGTGAAGGAGGCTTTGTTGCGAAATAGGAAGCCGATTCTAGATTTAACTTTGGATTGGAGATTATTTATGTGAGTCTGGAAGTTGAGTTTACAGTCTAACCAGACACCTAGGTATTTGTAGTTGTCCACATACTCTAGGTCAGACCCGTCGAGAGTGGTGATTCTAGTCGGGTGGGCGGGTGCCAGCAGCGTTCGATTGAAAAGCATGCATTTAGTTTTACTAGTGTTTAAGAGCAGTTGGAGGCTACTGAAGGATTGTTGTATGGCATTGAAGCTCGTTTGGAGGTTTGTTAACACAGTGTCCAATGAAGGGCCAGATGTATACAAAACACGGGGGGCCAGTATGAAAAATAAATGAGGTATGCACTGGATAAGACTGTCTGCTAAAATGACAAAAATGTAGTGACTGGTTATAGTTATTGTGATGGGTGATTTGAAGGAGTCAGGCGCAGGAGGGTAAATCACAAAAAAACTAGATTTATTCCGGAAAACAGAGTTACGCAGTAATGGATCAAAACAGTCCAGTGCGCAAAACAGGCGCACTGGAACCAACAGTTCTATAACCAACGGTTCTGGAACCAACGGTTCTGGAACCAACAGTTCTGGAACCAACAGTTCTATAACCAACGGTTCTGGAACCAACAGTTCTATAACCAACGGTTCTGGAACCAACAGTTCTATAACCAACGGTTCTGGAACCAACAGTTCTATAACCAACGGTTCTGGAACCAACAGTTCTATAACCAACGGTTCTGGAACCAACAGTTCTATAACCAACAGTTCTATAACCAACAGTTCTATAACCAACAGTTCTGGAACCAACAGTTCTATAACCAACAGTTCTATAACCAACAGTTCTATAACCAACAGTTCTATAACCAACAGTTCTATAACCAACAGTTCTGGAACCAACAGTTCTATAACCAACAGTTCTATAACCAACAGTTCTATAACCAACAGTTCTGGAACCAACAGTTCTGGAACCAACAGTTCTATAACCAACAGTTCTGGAACCAACAGTTCTGGAACCAACAGTTCTGGAACCAACAGTTCTATAACCAACGGTTATAGATGAAAAAGTAGGTAGATGGCCTTATTCTAAAATGGATTAAATCGTTTTTTCCCCTCATCAATCTAAACACAATATCACATAATGACAAAGCAACAACAGGTTTTTAGAAATTTTTGCAAATGTATTAAAAATAAATAAACAAATATCACATTTACATAAGTATTCAGACCCTTTACTCAGTACTTTGTTGAAGGACTGATTACAGCCTTGTGTCTTCTTGGGTATGACGAAACAAGCTTGGCACACCTGTATTTGGGAAGTTTCTCCCATTCTTCTCTGCAGATCCTCTCAAGATCTGTCAGGTTGGATGGGGAGCGTCGCTGCACAGCTATTTTCAGGTCTCTCCAGAGATGTTCGATCGGGTTCAAGTCCGGGCTCTGGCTGGTTCACTAAATGACATTCAGAGACTTTTCCCGAAGCCACTCCTGCATTGTCTTGGCTGTGTGCTTAGAGTCGTTGTCCTGTTGGAAGGTAAACCTTCGCCCCAGTCTGAGGTCCTGATCGCTCTGGAGCAGGTTTTCATCAAGGATCTCTCTGTACTTTGCTCCGTTCATCTTTCCCTCGATCCTGACTAGTCTCCCAGTCCATGCCGCTGAAAAACATCCGCACAGCATGATGCTGCCACCACCATGCTTCACCGTGGGGATGGTGCCAGGTTTCCTCCAAATGTGACGCTTGGCATACAGGCCAAAGAGTTCAATCTTGGTTTCATCAGACCAGAGAATCTTGTTTCTCATGGTCTGAGAGTCTTTAGGTGCCTTTTGGCAAACTTCAAGCGGGCTGTCATGTGGCTTTTACTGAGGAGTGGTTTCCGTCTGGCCACTCTACCATAAAGGCCTGATTGGTGGAGTGCTGCAGAGATGGTTGTCCTTCTGGAAGGTTCTCCCAATAACCACAGAGGAACTCTGGAGCTCTGTCAGAGTGGACATCGGGTATTGGTCACCTCCCTGACCAAGGCCCTTCTCCCCCGATTGCTCAGTTCTTCCATTTAAGAATGATGGAGCCCGCTGTGTTCTTGGGGACCTTCAATGCTGCAGAAATGTTTTGGTACCCTTCCCCAGATCTGTGCCTCGACACAATCTTGTCTCGGAGCTCTACAACAATTCCTTCAACCTCATGGCTTGGTTTTTTTGCACTGTTAACTGTGGGACCTTATATAGACAGGTGTGTGCCTTTCCAAATCATGTCCAATCAATTGAATTTACCACAGGTGGACTCCAATCAAGTTGTAGAAATATCTCAAGGATGTTAAATGGAAACAGGATCCACCTGAGTTCAATTTCGAGTCTCATAGCCAAGGGTCTGAATACTTATGTAAATAAGGTATTTCTGTTTTTTATTTTTAATACATTTGCAAAACTTTCTAAAAACCTGTTTTCACTTTGTCATTATGGGGTATTGTGTGTAGATTGATGAGGAAAAACCTTGATTTAATCAATTTTAGAATAAGGCTGTAACGTAACAAAATGTGGAAAAAGTGAAGGGGTCTGAATACTTTCTGAATGCAGTACCAGTCAAAAGTTTGGACACACCTACTCATTCCAGGGTTTTCATTTATTTTTCCTATTTTCTATATTGTAGAATAATAGTGAAGACATCAGAACTATGAAACATCACATATGGAATCATGTAGTAACCAAATAAGTGTTAAACTAAATAATAAGCTTTGGCATAGTTTTAAGATGGTCATAACAAGGATAATTTAGCTATTTTATTTTTACCTTTAAGACCCCTTGAAGTATCAAAAATATATATACACTGCTCAAAAAAATAAAGGGAACACTTAAACAACACAATGTAACTCCAAGTCAATCACACTTCTGTGAAATCAAACTGTCCACTTAGGAAGCAACCCTGATTGACAATACATTTCACATGCTGTTGTGCAAATGGAATAGACAACAGGTGGAAATTATAGGCAATTAACAAGACACCCCCAATAAAGGACTGGTTTTGCAGGTGGTGACCACAGACCACTTCTCAGTTCCTATGCTTCCTGGCTGATGTTTTGGTCACTTTTGAATGCTGGCGGTGCTTTCACTCTAGTGGTAGCATGAGACGGCGTCTACAACCCACACAAGTGGCTCAGGTAGTGCAGCTCATCCAGGATGGCACATCAATGCGAGCTGTGGCAAGAAGGTTTGCTGTGTCTGTCAGCGTAGTGTCCAGAGCATGGAGGTGCTACCAGGAGACAGGCCAGTACATCAGGAGACGTGGAGGAGGCCGTAGGAGGGCAACAACCCAGCAGCAGGACTGCTACCTCCACCTTTGTGCAAGGAGGAGCAGGAGGAGCACTGCCAGAGCCCTGCAAAATGACCTCCAGCAGGCCACAAATGTGCATGTGTCTGCTCAAACGGTCAGAAACAGACTCCATGAGGGTGGTATGAGGGCCCGACGTCCACAGGTGGGGGTTGTGCTTACAGCCCAACACCGTGCAGGACGTTTGGCATTTGCCAGAGAACACCAAGATTGGCAAATTCGCCACTGGCGCCCTGTGCTCTTCACAGATGAAAGCAGGTTCACACTGAGCACATGTGACAGACGTGACAGAGTCTGGAGACGCCGTGGAGAACGTTCTGCTGCCTGCAACATCCTCCAGCATGACCGGTTTGGCGGTGGGTCAGTCATGGTGTGGGGTGGCATTTCTTTGGGGGGGCCGCACAGCCCTCCATGTGCTCGCCAGAGGTAGCCTGACTGCCATTAGGTACCGAGATGAGATCCTCAGACCCCTTGTGAGACCATATGCTGGTGCGGTTTGCCCTGGGTTCCTCCTAATGCAAGACAATGCTAGACCTCATGTGGCTGGAGTTTGTCAGCAGTTCCTGCAAGAGGAAGGCATTGATGCTATGGACTGGCCCGCCCGTTCCCCAGACCTGAATCCAACTGAGCACATCTGGGACATCATGTCTCGCTCCATCCACCAACGCCACGTTACACCACAGACTGTCCAGGAGTTGGCGGATGCTTTAGTCCAGGTCTGGGAGGAGATCCCTCAGGAGACCATCCGCCACCTCATCAGGAGCATGCCCAGGTGTTGTAGGGAGGTCATACAGGCACGTGGAGGCCACACACACTACTGAGCCTCATTTTGACTTGTTTTAAGGACATTGCATCAAAGTTGGATCAGCCTGTAGTGTGGTTTTCCACTTTAATTTTGAGGGTGATTCGAAATCCAGACCTCCATTGTCACGATCGTCTATAAAGGGAGCAGACCAATACGCAGCGCGTTGAGTGAACATGATGACTTTAATAAAGAAAGCACGTAACTACAAAACAAAAGACGACTCATGAAGTCCACGGTTAACTAACCGAAACGGAACAAAAACCCACAACCCTCATGAGAACACAAATAGTTTAAATATGGCTCCCAATCAGAGATAACGAGCCGACAGCTGACACTCGTTACCTCCGATTGGGAGTCACACGACACCACAATTAACTCACCCAAAACACAACCAACCGAATACACCCTATACAACAAACCCCACAACAAAACCCAACAAAACAAATACACCCTGGCTCAAATACAAAAGTCCCGGAGCCAGAGTGTCACAGTACCCCCCCCTAAAGGTGCGCACTCCGGGCGCACCAGCATACAGTCTAGGGGAGGGTCTGGGTGGGCGTCTGTCCACGGTGGCGGTTCTGGCCCTGGTCGTGGTCCCCACCCCACCTTAGTCACCACCCGCTTCCCTAGCCTCCTCCACATGACCACCCTCCAACTTACCCCACCTGGATTAAGGGGCGGCACCGGACTAAAGGGCAGCACCGGACTAAGGGGCAGCACCGGACTAAGGGGCAGTACCGGACTAAGGGGCAGCACCGGGCTAAGGGACAGCACCGGGCTAAGGGACAGCACCGGACTCAATGGCGGATCCTGGCTGGCTGGCTCTGGCGGATCCTGGCTGGACGGCTCTGGCGGATCCTGGCTGGACGGCTCATGGCTGGCTGAAGGATCTGGCTGCTCATGGCTGGCTGACGGATCTGGCTGCTCATGGCTGGCCGACGGATCTGGCTGCTCATGGCTGGCCGACGGATCTGGCTGCTCATGGCTGGCCGACGGATCTGGCTGCTCATGGCTGGCCGACGGATCTGGCTGCTCATGGCTGGCTGACGGATCTGGCTGCTCATGGCTGGCTGACGGATCTGGCTGCTCATGGCTGGCCGACGGATCTGGCTGCTCATGGCTGGCCGACGGATCTGGCTGCTCATGGCTGGCCGACGGATCTGGCTGCTCATGGCAGGCTGACGGATCTGGCTGATCCCGTCTGGCCGAAGGCTCTGGCTGATCCTGTCTGGCGGAAGGCTCTGGCTGATCCGGTCTGGCGGAAGGCTCTGGCTGATCCTGTCTGGCGGAAGGCTCTGGCTGATCCTGTCTGGCGGAAGGCTCTGGCTGATCCTGTCTGGCGGAAGGCTCTGGCTGATCCTGTCTGGCGGAAGGCTCTGGCTGATCCTGTCTGGCGGAAGGCTCTGGCTGATCCTGTCTGGCGGAAGGCTCTGGCTGATCCTGTCTGGCGGAAGGCTTTAGCGGCTCCGGTCTGGCGGACGGCTCTGAAGGCTCATGGCAGACGGGCGGCTTATGCAGCGCTTGGCAGACGGACAGTTCAGACGGCGTTGGGCAGACAGGCAGTTCAGGCGCCGTTGGGCAGACGGGCAGTTCAAGCGCCGTTGGGCAGACGGGCAGTTCAGGCGCCGTTGGGCAGACGGGCAGTTCAGGCGCCGTTGGGCAGACGGCAGACTCTGGCCGGCCGAGACGCACTATAGGCCTGGTGCGTGGTGCCGGAACTGGTGGTCCCGGGCTGAGGACACGCATCTCAGGGCTAGTGCGGGGAGAAGGAACAGGGCATGCTGGACCCTGGGGACGCACATAAGGCCTAGTGCGTGGTGCCGGAACTGGTGGTCCCGGGCTGAGGACACGCATCTCAGGGCTAGTGCGGGGAGCAGGAACAGGCCGGGCTCGGCTGGCGACGCACACCGTAGACCTGGTGCGGGTGGCAGGAACAGGCCGGACCGGGCTGGCGACGCGCACCGTATGTTTGGTGCGAGTGGCAGGAACAGGCCGGGTCGGGCTGGCGACGCGCACCGTAGGTTTGGTGCGAGTGGCAGGAACAGGCCGGGCTGTACTGGCGACGCACACCGTGGGCTTGATGCGTGGAGTAGGAACAGGCCGGTCCGTACTGGGAACACACACCACTGGCTTTAACTGGGGATCAGGAACGGGCCGGACCGGACTGGTAACACACATCAGTCTCTCACGCCGTGCCGCAACAACTTCCCTTCCTCTACTCGCCAATGGCTCCCGTAATCCGATAGCCTTCTCTCCACGTCTCCCTGTGGCAGCCTCCTGCTGCCCAGCCGCCCAAGCCATGTGCCCCCCCCAAAAAACTTTTTGGGGTTGCCTCTCGTCCCTCCGACGATGGCCCTGCCGACGCCGTTGCTCCTCTCCTGCCAGGTTCTCCCCCGTCATCGCCCTCCGGTACCGGACGGCCTCCTCCTGCGTAATATGTCCCCAGCCGAGGAGGACATCCACCAGCGTTCTCTCCTGCGGGTGTTCCTGGATACGCTGCTTGGTCCTTCTATGGTGGGTTTTTCTGTCACGATCGTCTATAAAGGGAGCAGACCAATACGCAGCGCGTTGAGTGAACATGATGACTTTAATAAAGAAAGCACGTAACTACAAAACAAAAGACGACTCATGAAGTCCACGGTTAACTAACCGAAACGGAACAAAAACCCACAACCCTCATGAGAACACAAATAGTTTAAATATGGCTCCCAATCAGAGATAACGAGCCGACAGCTGACACTCGTTACCTCCGATTGGGAGTCACACGACACCACAATTAACTCACCCAAAACACAACCAACCGAATACACCCTATACAACAAACCCCACAACAAAACCCAACAAAACAAATACACCCTGGCTCAAATACAAAAGTCCCGGAGCCAGAGTGTCACATCCATGGGTTGATAAATTTGATTTCCATTGATAATGTTTGTTTGATTTTGTTGTCAGCACATTCAACTATGTAAAGAAAAAAGTATTTAATAAGATTATTTCATTCATTCAGATCTAGGATGTGTTATTTTAGTGTTCCCTTTATTTTTTTGAGCAGTGTATAAAACATTTTGATGAAAAATTGTATTTGGCCTTACTGCTATTAACCCATACAAACGCATTGAATAAAATATTCACTACATGGAACAACAGATTGTCCCCAGAAAAAAATCAAAGGAAGCTTGTTCTGAATTGTCTGTCCTATATGTGAGAGATACAGTGGGGAGAACAAGTATTTGATACACTGCCGATTTTGCAGGTTTTCCTACTTACAAAGCATGTAGAGGTCTGTAATTTTATCATAGGTACACTTCAACTGTGAGAGACGGAATCTAAAACAAAAATCCAGAAAATCACATTGTATGATTTTTAAGTAATTCATTTGCATTTTATTGCATGACATAAGTATTTGATACATCAGAAAAGCAGAACTTAATATTTGGTACAGAAACCTTTGTTTGCAATTACAGAGATCATACGTTTCCTGTAGGTCTTTACCAGGTTTGCACACACTGCAGCAGGGATTTTGGCCCACTCCTCCATACAGACCTTCTCCAGATCCTTCAGGTTTCGGGGCTGTCGCTGGGCAATACAGACTTTCAGCTCCCTCCAAAGATTTTCTATTGGGTTCAGGTCTGGAGACTGGCTAGGCCACTCCAGGACCTTGAGATGCTTCTTACGGAGCCACTCCTTAGTTGCCCTGGCTGTGTGTTTCGGGTCGTTGTCATGCTGGAAGACCCAGCCACGACCCATCTTCAATGCTCTTACTGAGGGAAGGAGGTTGTTGGCCAAGATCTCGTGATACATGGCCCCATCCATCCTCCCCTCAATACGGTGCAGTCGTCCTGTCCCCTTTGCAGAAAAGCATCCCCAAAGAATGATGTTTCCACCTCCATGCTTCACGGTTGGGATTGTGTTCTTGGGGTTGTACTCATCCTTCTTCTTCCTCCAAACACGGCGAGTGGAGTTTAGACCAAAAAGCTCTATTTTTGTCTCATCAGACCACATGACCTTCTCCCATTCCTCCTCTGGATCATCCAGATGGTCATTGGCAAACTTCAGACGGGCCTGGACATGCGCTGGCTTGAGCAGGGGGACCTTGCGTGCGCTGCAGGATTTTAATCTATGACGGCGTAGTGTGTTACTAATGGTTTTCTTTGAGACTGTGGTCCCAGCTCTCTTCAGGTCATTGACCAGGTCCTGCCGTGTAGTTCTGGGCTGATCCCTCACCTTCCTCATGATCATTGATGCCCCACGAGGTGAGATCTTGCATGGAGCCCCAGACCGAGGGTGATTGACCGTCATCTTGAACTTCTTCCATTTTCTAATAATTGCGCCAACAGTTGTTGCCTTCTCACCAAGCTGCTTACCTATTGGCCTGTAGCCCATCCCAGCCTTGTGCAGGTCTACAATTGTATCCCTGATGTCCTTACACAGCTCTCTGGTCTTGGCCATTGTGGAGAGGTTGGAGTCTGTTTGATTGAGTGTGTGGACAGGTGTCTTTTATACAGGTAACGAGTTCAAACAGGTGCAGTTAATACAGGTAATGAGTGGAGAACAGGAGGGCTTCTTAAAGAAAAACTAACAGGTCTGTGAGAGACGAAATTCTTACTGGTTGGTAGGTGATCAAATACTTATGTCATGCAATAAAATGCAAATTAATTACTTAGAAATCATACAATGTGATTTTCTGGATTTTTGTTTTAGATTCCGTCTCTCACAGTTGAAGTGTACCTATGATAAAAATTACAGACCTCTACATGCTTTGTAAGTAGGAAAACCTGCAAAATCGGCAGTGTATCAAATACTTGTTCTCCCCACTGTATAAGAAAGATTAGTAAACTTTTAAATATATACAGTGGGGAGAACAAGTATTTGATACACTGCCGATTTTGCAGGTTTTCCTACTTACAAAGCATGTAGAGGTCTGTAATTTTTATCATAGGTACACTTCAACTGTGAGAGACGGAATCTAAAACAAAAATCCAGAAAATCACGTTGTATGATTTTTAAGTAATTAATTTGCATTTTATTGCATGACATAAGTATTTGATCACCTACCAACCAGTAAGAATTCCGTCTCTCACAGACCTGTTAGTTTTTCTTTAAGAAGCCCTCCTGTTCTCCACTCATTACCTGTATTAACTGCACCTGTGTGAACTCGTTACCTGTATAAAAGACACCTGCCCACACACTCAATCAAACAGACTCCAACCTCTCCACAATGGCCAAGACCAGAGAGCTGTGTAAGGACATCAGGGATAAAATTGTAGACCTGCACAAGGCTGGGATGGGCTACAGGACAATAGGCAAGCAGCTTGGTGAGAAGGCAACAACTGTTGGCGCAATTATTAGAAAATGAAAGAAGTTCAAGATGACAGTCAATCACCCTCGGTCTGGGGCTCCATGCAAGATCTCACCTCGTGGGGCATCAATGATCATGAGGAAGGTGAGGGATCAGCCCAGAACTACACGGCAGGACCTGGTCAATGACCTGAAGAGAGCTGGGACCACAATCTCAAAGAAAACCATTAGTAACACACTACGCCGTCATGGATTAAAATCCTGCAGCGCACGCAAGGTCCCCCTGCTCAAGCCAGCGCATGTCCAGGCTCGTCTGAAATTTGCCAATGACCATCTGGATGATCCAGAGGAGGAATGGGAGAAGGTCATGTGGTCTGATGAGACAAAAATAGAGATTTTTGGTCTAAACTCCACTCGCCGTGTTTGGAGGAAGAAGAAGGATGAGTACAACCCCAAGAACACCATCACAACTGTGAAGCATGGAGGTGGAAACATCATTCTTTAGGGATGCTTTTCTGCAAAGGGGACAGGACGACTGCACCGTATTGAGGGGAGGATGGATGGGGCCATGTATCACGAGATCTTGGCCAACAACCTCCTTCCCTCAGTAAGAGCATTGAAGATGGGTCGTGGCTGGGTCTTCCAGCATGACAACGACCCGAAACACACAGCCAGGGCAACTAAGGAGTGCCTCCGTAAGAAGCATCTCAAGATCCTGGAGTGGCCTAGCCAGTCTCCAGATCTGAACCCAATAGAAAATCTTTGGAGGGAGCTGAAAGTCCGTATTGCCCAGCGACAGCCCCGAAACCTGAAGGATATGGAGAAGGTCTGTATGGAGGAGTGGGCCAAAATCCCTGCTGCAGTGTGTGCAAACCTGGTCAAGACCTACAGGAAACGTATGATCTCTGTAATTGCAAACAAAGGTTTCTGTACCAAATATTAAGTTCTGCTTTTCTGATGTATCAAATACTTATGTCATGCAATAAAATGCAAATTAATTACTTAAAAATCATACAACGTGATTTTCTGGATTTTTGTTTTAGATTCCGTCTCTCACAGTTGAAGTGTACCTATGATAAAAAATAACAGACCTCTACATGCTTTGTAAGTAGGTAAACCTGCAAAATCGGCAGTGTATCAAATACTTGTTCTCCCCACTGTATATATATATATATATATATACATATATATATATATATACTGTATATATATATATATTTTACATGTATTCAACCCCTTATTTTTGGCAGTACATGGTGTCCATATACTGTATACTTCCATTTTCGTGATGTCTCATGGTCTGACAAACACAGCTCTAGATCTGTCACCATTCACTGCATATACAGAAGTGCGACATAGTGTGGTGGACTGAGACACATCCAATGCAAAAAAAACAGATATCTCTAGTTTAAACTGACAGATTTTTATGAGGACTCATGTATTATGCAAATTAAATTTCGGCGGGGGCGCGGACATCGACATTAGGGGGTTGCATCAGGTACTGTTGGAATGGCATGTCCATGTTTTTGTGAGAAATTACACTGATCACTCAAAACATTTATAAAGTATTTATAAAGTACCTGTATTGAATCATTACTACAGAGGTTGTTTATAAATGTGTAGTCAGAGAGGTGAGCACCAGAACATCCTGTCTGACTCCTCACTGTCCGATTTGCCGCCACGGCTTCTGCTTCAAAAATTGTTTTGTGCTGAGTTTATTTACACAATTTTTATTAGTCATTTTAACAATAAGCACAAGGCTGATTTCCTGCATTGCACTGGCTGCGGTCTTGTGGGCTATTGTGATGTCAACCATATGCCAAATGTGTTAAATTACATCATCATTGTGTCTGACACAAGTAGACATTCGATCATTAATTTTGATGGACAAATCATTCAAACAGGCCCAGGACATCACCAGAATCACCTCCTGTTTTCAATGACAAATAATGAGTAATAATGGTATGAAGTCATTCACAGTGCTAATGAGATGGTATGATAAAAAAATAAAAAAAATAATAATCTAACATATACAGACTCTTGTTGCTATAATTTTACTGCCAAAGTAAGGCTTCAAAATTGCATTTTTATTTTGTTCAATCTATATTATAAGACTAAGCATTCTAAGCTGCGGGAGGAATGGAGTGAATGGCGATCGGATCGGGATCCAATCAGATCAAAGATCCGTGGTGCAGACTAACACACCACTTCACTGTTATTTCTGTCCTGTATCAACTCCATTGCGCAGCTCGAATACAAAGTCGTCCGTTCTCCAGGTCCTACTTTCAGAACAGTGTTTTGATTATTAAATTCCAAGTTTTCAATCAATATGCCTTGCTTAAGTTTTTGTCCACTAGCATAATGGCATTGCTGTGTCCTGCATTAGCCTCCTATCTCCTTCGCGTTCATGGAGAGGTTGGCTGCAGCCTGAGCGCGCGCTCTGCACCACAGATGAAAACGTCCACGTACAGTCAGTCACTCGTTCAGGATTGTGGTAACTTCAGACAGTATGCTCGCTTTCGTATTTCTTCAGAAGGTGTCCTATGGTTGCTGGAAGTAGAAATGGCCTGGATGAAATTCAGAATGCAACTCTGGCCATTCTCATTGTGCGTAATTTGACCTCTTGGTTTGCAATTGGACCTCTTAGTTTGGACACTTCTACACATAGAAATCTGCCATATATTCTACCTTGTGTTCTCTGAATTTTAGCAATACAGGCTACTTAGCAGATCGGGGTTCAGATTAAGGCCTGTCAATGTGCAATCATTCAGTGATTTAGGCCTGGGATGGTGTTCTCGGGGTGATGAGAGGTGTTGGGTTTGCGCCAGACATAGCGTTTTCCTTAATGGCCAAAAAGCTCAATTTTAGTCTCATCTGACCAGAGTACCTTCTTCCATATGTTTGGGGAGTCTCCCACATGCCTTTTGGCGAACACCAAACGTGTTTGATTATTTTTTTCTTTAAGCAATGGCTTTTTTCTGGCCACTCTTCCATAAAGCCCAGCTCTGTGGAGTGTATGGCTTAAAGTGATTGGACAGATACTCCAATCTCCACTGTGGAGCTTTGCAGCACCTTCAGGGTTATCTTTGGTCTCTTTGTTGCCTCTCTGATTAATGCCCTCCTTGCCTGGTCTGTGAGTTTTGGTGGGCGGCCCTCTCTTGGCAGGTTTGTTGTGGTGCCATATTCTTTCCATTTTTTAATAATGGATTTAATGGTGCTCCGTGGGAGGTTCAAAGTTTCTGATATTTTTTTATAACCCAACCCTGATCTGTACTTCTCCACAACTCTGTCCCTGACCTGTTTGGAGAGCTCCTTGGTCTTCATGGTGCTGCTTGCTTGGTGGTGCCCCTTGCTTAGTGGTGTTGCAGACTCTGGGGCCTTTCAGAACAGGTGTATATATACTAAGATTATGTGACACTTAGATTGCACACAGGTGGACTTTATTTAACTAACTTCTGAAGGTAATTGGTTGCACCAGATCTTATTTAGGGGCTTCATAGCAAAGGGGGTGAATACATATGCACGCACCACTTTTCCGTTATTTATTTTTTAGAATTTTTTGAAACAAGTTATTTTTTTCATTCCACTTCACCAATTTGGACTATTATGTGTATGTCCATTACATGAAATCCAAATAAAAATCAATTTAAATTACAGGTTGTAATGCAACAAAATAGTAAAAACGCCAAGGGGGATGAATACTTTTGCAAGCCACTGTATTAACGCAAGCGATATAACCATTTTTGGTTCCATATGAAAGTTGGAATCTTTTTATTTAAACGACGGTTTTTAAGAAAGTTCCAATCCAACGTACCACAGTATGAGAAATATAACGAAGATGTTCAGGACTACAAAAGGCAGGGAATTGTGAAATGGGTGGACAACGAAGACGCAGAGAATCCTACTACCTACTACCTTCCACATCACACAGTCATAAAAGAGACTGGCCACTAAACTCCAAATTATATTCAATGCGTGATCCCATGCAAGGGAGTAGGCCTAAATCACTGAATGATTGCACATTGACAGGCCTTAATCTGAACCCCGATCTGCTAAGTAGCCTGTATTTAACCGAACTGGAAGAAGACCAAGGGTGTTGAATTTAGTCAATCACTGAACTGATCAATTAGCTCAGTTGGTCTGGTGTGGTAACTGGTTGGAACAAAATCCTGCAATACATGCGGAACTCCAGGAACAGGGTTGCCTGACCCTGCACTATGGTCTTATGGTCAATGTTCTATAGTGCCAACATTTTATACTTTCTGCAAAGGCCTACTGTACTGTAAATGTGTTGTTCATTTAAAGTGGATAACTGAGATCTGGGGTTGTATTCATAAAGCGTCTCAGAGTAGGAGGAGTGCTGATCTGGGATCAGATCCCCCTGGCTTAATCATTATGATCTAAAAGGCGAAATTGATCCTAAGGTCCAGCAGTCCTACTCTGAGACATTTTATGAATACATCCCCTGATGGACATCAACCAGTTGCCGTACTCACAGAGGATAGCTGAGCTGGATGCGGTGGTGGTGACCGTGGCCCGGGCTGAGGAGGAGGAGGGTCTCAGAGCCTTGGAGAAGAAGGTCCACATCACAGCATTACAGGTGAACAGCAGCCTTCCACACAGCAGCCGCAGAGGGATGTGGAGCTGGAAATGCAATAGGACCTGTTAGTGATCTGGTAGAATGGTATCTCTCACACTCTCTCTCTCTTTCTCCCCCTCACACACACAAATGTTAGAAGATTATCCATACATAACCAAATGTTGTCTTACTTTCACCAATTCACAGGGTGATGTTTCTTCCTGAATTATCCTGTGGTCCCCATCCTGAGCCCAGTCTTTCAGCCCTGTTTCACACATCCCTTTGCTCTAAGTCTGTCTGTTCCCTCTATAACTGTAATGGTGGACAGGGTTGGAGTGCTGCTAACGCTACTGCTCTAAGTCTGTCTGTTCCCTCTATAACTGTAATGGTGGACAGGGTTGGAGTGCTGCTAACGCTACTGCTCTAAGTCTGTCTGTTCCCTCTATAACTGTAATGGTGGACAGGGTTGGAGTGCTGCTAACGCTACTGCTCTAAGTCTGTCTGTTCCCTCTATAACTGTAATGGTGGACAGGGTTGGAGTGCTGCTAACGCTACTGCTCTAAGTCTGTCTGTTCCCTCTATAACTGTAATGGTGGACAGGGTTGGAGTGCTGCTAACGCTACTGCTCTAAGTCTGTCTGTTCCCTCTATAACTGCAGTGGTGGACAGGGTTGGAGTGCTGCCGTCTTCCCTGTGTTTCTCTCTCCTCCCTAGCGGGCAAGACTGATTGAAATGACGTCGTTACAACCACGACGTTGTAATCAGGTAATAATGACATTTCCAACCAGTTTAGCCTGCTGGGTCAGGCTAGAAGGAGACTAAAGCAAAGGAACCATCTACCAACAACAACAACCACTGTTGTGTTGTATCAGAGATGCAGGATTATGTTGTCCTCAATCTTTTCTCTGTAGGTTAAACAAGTTAGCATGTAATCACATTACAGCACCATCCCATTCCATCTCACAGCCCCAGGGGAGCTTATCGTAGAGGAGATTAGATTTCCCTGTGCAGAACGTATTAATCAGAGATAAATCCTATCTGCAGATATCACTGATACCAAATGGCACCCTTGCTTTTAGTGGCGTGTTGTATTCAGATTCAATGGTTACGTCCCAAATAGCACCATATTGTATGGATGGGAGATGTTTTGACACTGTAAAGTAACCACCCCATCTTCAGTTACCTCTCTCAGCAGACCACAGCATGGTAGCCTATGTAGGAGACTAGGCCTGGTTGGAGGTCACCTCCCGAATGGTGACGCAGAGTTATTCCAGGGAAATTAGAAGAATAACCAAAAATACATTTTTAAAAACGTTTTGTTTTTTAAACGTTTGTTATATTGTTCTAACATTATAAAAGAAAATGACAACATCTGAAGTTGTTCATGTGTGTTTAAAGGACATCCCAGTGTTCTTTGAAATCAAGGGGTATATTTCATTAGCTGAATTCACAGAGATGTCCTTAGCCAACAAGTCCATCATAAAACATTACGTGATGTATGATTAAAAACCACTTGGTGGTTATCTAAGCAGGGAGGCAGAGACAACTGGAAAACCACTCTGTCCCTTCTTCAATAAGCAACATTATCGGCAGAATTAGGAAATAACACAAGGTTAATACATATTCAGAGAAAGATAATAGATACAAATCCGGATGACTATGTGATCACGCTCTCCGTAGCCAATGTGAGTAAGACTTTTAAGCAGGTCAACATTCACAAGGCCGCAGGGCCAGACGGATTACCAGGACGTGTACTCCGAGCATGTGCTGACCAACTGGCAAGTGTCTTCACTGACATTTTCAACATGTCCCTGACTGAGTCTGTAATACCAACATGTTTCAAGCAGACCACCATAGTCCCCGTGCCCAAGGACTCTAAGATAACCTGCCTAAATGACTACCGACCCGTAGCACTGACGTCTGTAGCCATGAAGTGCTTTGAAAGGCTGGTCATGGCTCACATCAACAGCATTATCCCAGAAACCCTAGACCCACTCCAATTTGCATACCGCCCCAACAGATCCACAGATGATGCAATCTCTATTGCACTCCACACTGCCCTTTCCCACCTGGACAAGAGGAACACCTACGTGAGAATGCTATTCATTGACTACAGCTCAGCATTCAACACCATAGTGACCTCAAAGCTCATCACTAAGCTAAGGATCCTGGGACTAAACACCTCCCTCTGCAACTGGATCCTGGACTTCTTGACGGGCCGCCCCCAGGTGGTAAGGGTAGGTAACAACACATCTGCCACACTGATCCTCAACATGGGGGCCCCTCAGGGGTGCGTGCTCAGTCCCCTCCTGTACTCCCTGTTCACCCATGACTGCATGGCCAGGCACGACTCCAACACCATCATTAAGTTTGCCGACGACACAACAGTGGTAGGCCTGATCACCGACGACGATGAGACAGCCTATAGGGAGGAGGTCAGAGACCTGGCCGTGTGGTGCCAGGACAACAACCTCTCCCTCAACGTGACCAAGACAAAGGAGATGATTGTGGACTACAGGAAAAAAAAGAGGACTGAGCACGCCCCCATTCTCATCGACGGGGCTGTAGTGGAACAGGTTGAGAGCTTCAAGTTCCTTGGTGTCCACATCACCAATGAACTATAATGGTCCAAACACACCAAGACAGTCGTGAAGAGGGCACGACAAAGCCTATTCCCCCTCAGGAGACTGAAAAGATTTGGCATGGGTCCTCAGATCCTCAAAAAATTCTACAGCTGCACCATCGAGAGCATCCTGACTGGTTGCATCACCGCCTGGTATGGCAACTGCTTGGCCTCCGACCGCAAGGCACTACAGAGGGTAGTGTGTACGGTCCAGTACATCACTGGGGCCAAGCTTCCTGCCATCCAGGAACTCTATACCAGGCGGTGTCAGAGGAAGGCCCTCAAAATTGTCAAAGACTCCAGCCACCCTAGTCATAGACTGTTCTCTCTGCTACCGCACGGCAAGCGGTACCGGAGTGCCAAGTCTAGGTCCAAAAGACTTCTCAACAGCTTCTACCCCCAAGCCATAACACTCCTGAACAGCTAATCATGGCTACCCGGACTATTTGCACTGCCCCCCCACCCCATCCTTTTACGCTGCTGCTACTCTGTTAATTATTTATGCATAGTCACTTTAACTCTACCCCATGTACATATTACTTCAACTACCTCAACTAGCCGGTGCCCCCGCACATTGACTCTGCACCGGTACCCCCCTGTATATATAGCCTCCCTACTGTTATTTTATTTTACTTCTGCTCTTTTTTTCTCAACACTTTTTTTTGTTGTTGTTTTATTTTTACTTTTTTGTTAAAAATAAATGCACTGTTGGTTAAGGGCTGTAAGTAAGCATTTCACTGTAATGTCTGCACCTGTTGTATTCGGCGCATGTGGCCAATAAAATTTGATTTGATTTGATTTGAAATCATTTCGTAGTCAATTAGACGTAGAGTAGGCTTTTATGTGCATTAGTGGCAATACCAAAATCATAATACAATTTTAATGTGTGTGAGCATGTTTGTGCAAACGTGTGTGTTGTCTACCTCATGGGGACACTTCAGTGTTCCTCCTCTCACGGTGTTTGGGGCACAGCGGGTAGTGGTGGTCTGGTTGTGGTGTACTGGTGAGCAACTCTCTGCTCCTCTCTCTGCTCCTCTCTCTGTCTCCCCCTGCAGGCTGCTGCTCATTATTACAGCGATGGACCAGGACAGGCTGTTTGACCAGAGCTGGACTTTTCATCAGTGGACGCTGCTTGTCTGACCGCTCCTTCCTAAAGTCATCCTCATACACTTTGAGCTGGACACAGGAGACTAGAGGCAGTGGTTAGTTAGTTAGTTAAATCGTTTTATGTCAATTCAAGAAATATATCCGGAATTGATAAATTCCTATTGAAAATACATTTTTTTAAAATGGAATTGAAGTTTCAATGCATCTCCTAAAATGGAATGGACTCTGACCCTAGCATATAAAATTAAAAATGATCTTTACAACAAGGCCCTGTTGGTACATTCACATGCAGCACATCTCCCAGACGACTTCTAATGAAGCATATGGTCATTACGGACCATATGTTATGTCCTATTCATTTCACATTCAACATAACCCAATGTCAGTGTATGTCCTTATCTGTTACACTACATCCCATTCTCCCAGCTGTTGCTATTAATTCAGGTGTGTGTTTATGTGTGTGTGTGTGTTTGTGTGTGTATTTGTTTGTTTGTTTGTGTGTGTGTGTGTGTGTATGTTTGTGTGTGTGTATCTGTATGTGTATGTGTGTGTGTGTGTGTGTGTGTTTGTGTGTGTGTATCTGTATGTGTATGTTTGTGTGTGTATTTGTTTGTTTGTTTGTGTGTGTGTGTGTGTGTGTGTATGTTTGTGTGTGTGTATCTGTATGTGTATGTGTATGTGTGTGTGTGTGTGTGTGTGTGTGTGTGTGTATTTGTTTGTTTGTTTGTGTGTGTGTGTGTGTGTGTGTGTATGTTTGTGTGTGTGTATCTGTATGTGTATGTGTGTGTGTGTGTGTGTGTGTGTGTGTGTGTTTGTTTGTTTGTTTGTATGTGTGTGTGTGTGTGTGTGTGTGTGTTTGTGTACTGTATGTTGTAAATGATTGTGTTTGTTGTGATTTCCCTTCTTAACCATTCTGTTCTCGCTCTCGCTCTCGCTCTCGCTCTCAAACACACACACACACACACACACACACACACACACACACACACACACACACACACACACACACACACACACACACGTGAACGTTGAGTCTTTCCAGATCTTCTCGTGCTTTGGCTGTCCGTTCTCCTTCACCTCTCAGATCTTCCTCCACAAGCACATAAAGAGATGTCACCATGTTGAGTATGTCAGGCTTTTGAGGAGTGAGGAGATCAGATCAGAGAATCTCATGTCCTCCAGCAGCTCACAACACCATGGAACCACCTCAGGTTCCTCCAACCCAGCTCCCACCAGGAAACAGAGAGAGACGGACAAGCCACGACCACACAGCTGATCTCAGTGTGGGAAGAGCTTCACTACAGGGAGAAATCTCATCAGACACCAGCTCACTCACACAGGAGAGAAGCCCTTCCACTGCTCCCAGTGTGAAGTGTTTCAGTCAGTCAGGAGAGTTAAAGACACACTAGCGCACTCACACAGGAGAGAAGCCGTTTCACTGCTCCCAGTGTGGGAAGAGTTTCAGTTTAGAGGGTAATCTCAGAACACACCAGCTCACTCACACAGGAGAGAGGCCATTCCACTGCTCCCAGTGTGGGAAGACTTTCAGTCGGTCATACAAGGTAAAGACACACCAGTGTTCTTAAAAGAGTAAAGAAGATTTCATTGTAAATGGGATGGTAATGTGACAATGAGATACGGTGAGTGTATGTTCTATCATGAAACATGACTGATGTATTTTGTACACAGGTTTGGGGTCAATTCCAGTCAATTCAAAAAGTACAATGCAATTCCAAGTCTCTTCCAAAGCTTTTTAATGAAGAAAATATGGAATTATAATTTGGTTTACTTTCTGAATTGACTGGAATTGAAATGGAATTGAAATGGAATTGACTCCAACCCTGATAGATACTGTTGAATTATTCTGATATTATATTCACAGAACTTAAAAGTTTCACAGATTTAAAGTTTATATAGATTTTGATATGCATAACATATACAGTGGGGAGAACAAGTATTTGATACACTGCTGATTTTGCAGGTTTTCCTACTTACAAAGCATGTAGAGGTATGTAATTTTTATCATAGGTACACTTCAACTGTCCAGAAAATTACATTGTATGATTTTTAAGCAATTAATTTGCATTTTATTGCATGACATAAGTATTTGATACATCAGAAAAGCAGAACTTAATATTTGGTACAGAAACCTTTGTTTGCAATTACAGAGATCATACGTTTCCTGTAGGTCTTGACCAGGTTTGCACACACTGCAGCAGGGATTTTGGCCCACTCCTCCATACAGACCTTCTCCAGATCCTTCAGGTTTCGGGGCTGTCGCTGGGGAATACGGACTTTCAGCTCCCTCCAAAGATTTACTATTGGGTTCAGGTCTGGAGACTGGCTAGGCCACTCCAGGACCTTGAGATGCTTCTTACGGAGCCACTCCTTAGTTGCCCTGGCTGTGTGTTTCGGGTCGTTGTCATGCTGGAAGACCCAGCCACGACCCATCTTCAATGCTCTTACTGAGGGAAGGAGGTTCTTGGCCAAGATCTCGCGATACATGGCCTCATCCATCCTCCCCTCAATACGGTGCAGTCGTCCTGTCCCCTTTGCAGAAAAGCATCCCCAAAGAATGATGTTTCCACCTCCATGCTTCATGGTTGGGATGGTGTTCTTGGGGTTGTACTCATCCTTCTTCTTCCTCCAAACACGGCGAGTGGAGTTTAGACCAAAAAGCTCTATTTTTGTCTCATCAGACCACATGACCTTCTCCCATTCCTCCTCTGGATCATCCAGATGGTCATTGGCAAACTTCAGACGGGCCTGGACATGCGCTGGCTTGAGCAGGGGGACCTTGCGTGTGCTGCAGGATTTTAATCCATGACGGCGTAGTGTGATACTAATGGTTTTCTTTGAGACTTTGGTCCCAGCTCTCTTCAGGTCATTGACCAGGTCCTGCCGTGTAGTTCTGGGCTGATCCCTCACCTTCCTTATGATCATTGATGCCCCACGAGGTGAGATCTTGCATGGAGCCCCAGACCGAGGGTGATTGACCGTCATCTTGAACTTCTTCCATTTTCTAATAATTGCGCCAACAGTTGTTGCCTTCTCACCAAGCTGCTTGCCTATTGTCCTGTAGCCCATCCCAGCCTTGTGCAGGTCTACAATTTTATCCCTGATGTCCTTACACAGCTCTCTGGTCTTGGCCATTGTGGAGAGGTTGGAGTCTGTTTGATTGAGTGTGTGGACAGGTGTCTTTTATACAGGTAACGAGTTCAAACAGGTGCAGTTAATACAGGTAATGAGTGGAGAACAGGAGGGCTTCTTAAAGAAAAACTAACAGGTCTGTGAGAGCCGGAATTCTTACTGGTTGGTAGGTGATCAAATACTTATATCATGCAATACAATGCAAATTAATTACTTAAAAATCATACAATGTGATTTTCTGGATTTTTGTCTCTCACAGTTGAAGTGTACCTATGATAAAAATTACAGACCTCTACATGCTTTGTAAGTAGGAAAACCTGCAAAATCGGCAGTGTATCAAATACTTGTTCTCCTCACTGTATATGTACGGCACCAGTCAAAAGTTTGGACACACCTACTCATTCAAGGGTTTTTCTTTATTTTTACTATTTTCTACATTGTAGAATAATAGTGAAGACATCAAAACTATGATATAACACATATGGAATCATGTAGTAACCAAAAAAGTGTTAAACAAATCAAAATATATTTTATATTTGAGATTCTTCAAAGTTTCCACCCTTTGCCTTGATGATAGCTTTACACACTCTTGGCATTCTTTCAAACAGCTTCACCTGGAATGCTTTTCCAACAGTCTTGAAGGAGTTCCCACATATGCTGTCCTCCTCCTTACTCTCCTCCTCTGCCTACGGCGGCCTCTCTCAATAGCAAGGCTATGCTCACTGAATCTGTACATAGTCAAAACTTTCCTTAATTTTGGGTCAGTCACAGTGGTCAGGTATTCTGCCACTGTGTACTCTCTGTCAAGGGCCAAATAGACAACTACCCCTTCCCTCTGTGGCTCGGTTGACAGGTTAATGCATTGTCTCTCATACACACAGCTGAAGGTGATTGGAAATGCAAGGCCCGCCTGTCAATAGTAAAAAGGCATTTTAATGAAGAGTCTGATAGAACATGCCTGAGGATCCCAGCAGGTGGGATCAGTATGGAAGACAACAGGCCAGTGTTTACAGGTAGAACAATGGGGCTGGTTTTAAAGAAAACACATGTAGATGGATCAGATTGGTGTGAGTATTAGTCAGCATGGAGGTTGGGAAAGGTGGTGTGTACACTCTCTTAATGAGGTTGCTCAATACAGGCGGTACACTCTCTTAATGAGGTTGCTCCATACAGGCAGTACACTCTCTTAATGAGGTTGCTCAATACAGGCGGTACACTCTCTTAATGAGGTTGCTCAATACAGGCGGTACACTCTCTTAATGAGGTTGCTCAATACAGGCAGTACACTCTCTTAATGAGGTTGCTCAATACAGGCGGTACACTCTCTTAATGAGGTTGCTCAATACAGGCGGTACACTCTCTTAATGAGGTTGCTCAATACAGGCGGTACACTCTCTTAATGAGGTTGCTCAATACAGGCGGTACACTCTCTTAATGAGGTTGCTCAATACAGGCGGTACACTCTCTTAATGAGGTTGCTCAATACAGGCGGTACACTCTCTTAATGAGGTTGCTCAATACAGGCGGTACACTCTCTTAATGAGGTTGCTCAATACAGGCGGTACACTCTCTTAATGAGGTTGCTCCATACAGGCGGTACACTCTCTTAATGAGGTTGCTCAATACAGGCGGTACACTCTCTTAATGAGGTTGCTCAATACAGGCGGTACACTCTCTTAATGAGGTTGCTCAATACAGGCGGTACACTCTCTTCATGAGGTTGCTCCATACATTAATGCATGTGCAGGAAGTGTGCTTTATATACAGTAATCTACAGGTGGCTGGGTCCAGGCACATACCACACAATGGATAGACACACCTCATGGATCAAATGGATTTGAAAAGACCTAACATTATCAACCATAGAGGTCAAGGGTTATACAGACAGTCTGGGGAAACATTCTCAGGCAGATCTATAGACCACAAACTGACCGTGACTGACCCCTTTGATGACCAAACTATTAGGCAAGAACAAATGTCATCCCTTTTAGACAACTTCCTGGACAAAACGTTTCAATGTAATAATGAAGGTGTAAACTTGGCAGTAGAAAACCTAAACAGTATATTTCACCCCTTAGCTTCCCTATCAAATCTAAACATTTCAAGCAGACAACCTAAGAAAATGAACAACAATGACAAATGGTTTGATGAAGAATGCAAAAACCTAAGAAAGAAATTGAGAAACCTATCCAAGCAAAAACATAGATACCCAGAAAACCTGAGCATACACCTTCACTATGGTGAATCACTAAAACAATACAGAAATACACTACGGAAAAATATGATAATGTCATATGTTTCCCTCAACACCGCTTTCCATCATTTTGTATAGCAGACCCTCATGCCAAATTGAGTCAAAAGCTTTTTTGAAATCAACAAAGCATGAGAAAACTTTGCCTTTGTTTTGGATTGTTTGTTTGTGAATTAGGGTGTGCAGGGTGAATACGTGGTCTGTCGTATGGTAATTTGGTAAAAAGTCAATTTGACATTTGCTCAATACATTGTTTTCACTGAGGAAATGTACAAGTCTCCTGTTAATGATAATGCAGAGGATTTTCCCAAGGTTGCTTATGACGCATTTCCCATGGTAGTTAATGGGGTGATCAGTCCTTGGTTCCAAATATTGGGGAAGATGCCAGAGCTGAGGATGATGTTAAAGTGTTTAAGTACAGCCAATTGGAATTTGTGGTCTGTATTTTCTATCCTTTCATTTAGGACACTATAAACACCACAGGCTTTTTTGGGTTGGAGGGTTTGTATTTTGTCCTGTAGTTCATTCAATGTAATTGGAGAATCCAGTGTGTTCTGGTAGTCTTTAATAGCTGATTCTAAGATTTGTAATTGATCATGTATATGTTTTTGCTGTTTGTTCTTTGTTATAGAGCCAAAAAGATTGGAGAAGTGGTTTATCCATACATCTCCGTTTTGGAAAGGTAACTCTTATACAGGGGTAATATCATCTGTAGTTCTGATGGGGGCTGTTATACAGGGGTAATATCATCTGTAGTTCTGATGGGGGCTGTTATACAGGGGTAATATCATCTGTAGTTCTGATGGGGGCTGTTATACAGGGGTAATATCATCTGTAGTTCTGATGGGGGCTGTTATACAGGGGTAATGTCATCTGTAGGGAGGGGGGGGGGCACCTAAGGATTGGAATGTCAATGGAACCCCATGGGTACACCGAATGTTCCAAGTGAGTTAGGATTCTAGTTTGGATATTCTAGTAAGGATTCCAATCAAAATGTTATTGTCATAGAATGTTTGGCTACAAAATGGAGGAAAGTTTACTGAACTCTACCGTGTATATCTGGTGTTTTTCAAGCCATTAGCCATGTGAGGAGATGAGGAGGAGAGATGGAGAGGAGGAGAGAAATAGAGGGGGAGATGAGGAAATGTGAAGAATATAGCAGAAAGGAGGAGCTGATGATGATGGGGTGGAGAGGTTGAGAGGGAAGGAAGAGGAGAAGGTGGAGAAGAGGAAAGGAAGATATGTGTGTTTCAGTGTGTTGTTGACTGCAGTGGGCTATCCCTCCACATCTCTGACAGACCAGTCAATGGGTTTAATCAGCCCAGTGCAAGCCAACGGGAACTGGCTTTGCATCAATGACGTGTACCCCAAATGGCACCCTATTCCCTAGTGCACTACTTTTGACCACAGCCCAGGTCAAACGTAGGGTAATATGTAGGGAATAGGGTGCAAACAGTTGAGGAGAGACTGACTGCATCATTTCTTTTTATAAGAAACATTAATGTGTTGAAAATTCCAAATTATTTACATAGTCAACTTACACACAGCTCTGACACACACACTTACCACACCAGACATGCCACCAGGGGTCTTTTCACAGTCCCCAAATTCAGAACAAATTCAAGAAAGCGTACATTATTATATAGAGCCATTATTGCTTGGAACTCCCTTCCGCCTCATATTGCTCAAATGAACAACAAACCTGGTTTCAAAAAACTGGTGAAGCAACACCTCACGTCACAACGCCTCTCCCCCATTTGATCTAGATATTTTGTGTGTATGTATTGATATGTAGCCTATGTGTGCCATTTTAAAATGTATGTATTTCTGTCCTTGAGCTGTTTTTGTCTATTAATGTTCTGTATTTGTAGTTGTGTGGACCCCAGGAAGAGTAGCTGCTGCTTTTGCAACAGCTAATGGGGATCCTAATAACATAACAATACCAAGTAGCCCTATAAAGGACGCCGCGCTTGGGCATCCTAGGTGGTACTTGTTTCCGAAAATCCTGTTACTGAAGGCATATTTATAATCCGTAACAATTTGTCCGTCGATCCGGATTGTATGTGTGGATATCTGTTTAGAATCTAAATTTTCTCCACTGAGTGTTCAAAACATTAGGAACACCTTCCTAATATTGAGTTGCACCCCCTGTTTGCCCACAGTCTCAATTCGTCTGGGCATGGACTCTACAAGGTGTCAATAGCATTCCACAGGGTTGCAGGCCCATGTTGACTCCAATACTTCCCACAGTTAAGTGATTGAGAAAGGAAATGGTTGCATATCCCAGAACCAACGTGTGTCTGTGGGCAGGGGTTGTGAGAGAGAGCTTTCAATTTTGTGCAGATGAGGGATATACATTTTAAAATATAGTATACATCTAATCTATTTTTTTATTGTCCTATCATGATGGAACGATCCCCAACCCTATATCCTAGACACCCACCTGAGTGACCCATACACCAAAGAGAAGTCCCCATCTGTTTTATGGACCTGCTGTGAGTTGCCTATATGCAGCCTAAACAGAAAAATAAATGCGGTCAGAGACCTACTTGAGCAGCACCACCCCCTCAAGATTCTGAGTCTGCCTGGCAGGGTTGGTCCTACAAAGCCAGAGCCCCCTGATGGGAGAGCATAATATACAAGGAAATTCTCAAAGCTGCTAATGAGAACCTTGACGACCTTGTACCCCCACCCAGGTAGTGGCAGTGCTGGCAACACTGGCTGCAGTAACCCATGGGGAGGGGGTCACACTCGGACAATCAGAGAGGGGGCTTATTATTGTGGCCCAAGCGGCACAAAATAATCAAAGGTCTGACTGCACGGAGATGCTTGGGAAAAATGGTTACAACGGGGTACCAGAGTGTCTCAGGTGAAGAGGGTGGATCTGATCTCCAGCACCTAGGACTTGACATAGATGAAATAGATTAATCAAATCTCACATTGTTGTCAATTTTTCCTCAATCTTGCGTGCTTTCTCAAACAGCTGTAACTGTATATGCATTCGTAAATCAGGTCCTTTCTTGAGTTGGGCTCTGGGATGTAACAACCGTTGAGCATCTGATCTTATGGTTGATTGTGGAGGAAAGGGGTTGAGTGTGTTGGAGTATGTGCGTGTGTGTTTATCCCACATCTGTTGCAAGGGGGTAAGGATGTTAGGGAGAATATAGGATGAACCACAATAATTGTTTGCTAAAATAATAATTGCTTGTCAAAAATGTAATGTAATACAATGGCAATCCGGGTTATAGGTTAAAATCCTACGCATAAACTGCCAACATTATTACGCATATTAATTGATAATGATGGAAAATAAGATATGCAAGATATTTGAATGGATATACATTTTTAAATAGATATATATATATATATATTGAGGTGAGAGCATTGGAAATGCTTTTGGCGGTTGACCTGCTTCTGTTTTGTGGGTGGCACTGTGTGCTGTTTTCGATGGATGGGTCCTGGCCTCTCGGGGGCCTAGTGATTCGGGGGGACGGGGGTGGTATGCTGATCACTGGGATGACGGCCCAACTTGGGATGGGGAGGGGCTTTAGCGGGGGAATTAGTGGAGAACAATTGGAGGGTTACTTAGTAGCAATGCAAATATCATGGTACAGCTATATGGACAGTCAATCGCTATGGTATTTTTTATTGATAAATAGATTTGAAACTTGTATCCCATTATGGTATGTGGTGAAATAAGTATAGCCAGTTATAATTGTAATGGCTTAGCAGATAATAACAAAAGAAGAACAATATTTACATGGCTCCAAGAGAAGGAATATAATATCTATTGTTTACAGGAAACTCATTCAACAATTGTAGATGAAGTTGCGTGGAAAAAGGAATGGGGGGGGCGAAATATACTTCTCCCATGGGCAAAGAAACTCAAAAGTGGTGATGATATTAATTAACAGTAATTTTAATCCAAATGCAAATTGTCCAAACAGATACGCAAGGTAGATGGATTATTTTAAATATGTTATTGGACCATAAACAGATGTGGCTCATTAACCTTTACGGACCAAATAATGATGATCCACACTTCTTTGACAATATATATAATAAATGATCAACTCTGCAAGCAATTCAAGACTCTATTATTATGGTGGGAGATTATAATACCGTTTTAAATAGCTCAATGGACCGTAAAGGAAATCACACTACAAACAATCACCCTCATGCTCTTAAGGAAATCGTGAATGTCATGGATACATTAGAACTAGTAGATATATGGAGGCTTAAATATCCTGATCTAGTGAGATATACATGGCGGAGACTCAATCAAGCTAGTCGTCTTGACTTCTTTCTTATGTCATTCTCGTTGGCACCAAAACTTTAAAAAGTGTTGATAGGGGACAGAATGCGGTCGGACCATCATATAATTGGCATATACATTACTCTTACTGAATTTCCACGTGGGCGAGGATATTGGAAATTTAATCAAAGCCTATTGGATGATAACTTGTTTTTAACTAGGACAGAGGAATTCATAACTGATTTTTTCCGACATAACATAGGTACAGCAAATCCCCTTATTGTATGGGACACCTTTAAATGTGCCTTTAGAGGCCATGCAATTCAGTACTCATCTCGAAAACAAAAGCAATTTAGGTCAAAAGAGTCCACACTAACAAAGGAAATAGAAGGTCTAACAGAACAGATAGGGTCAAAATGATCACAAGAACAGTGAGCAAAAATCCCAGAACCACACAGGGGGACCTAGTGAATGACCTGCAGAGAGCTGGGACCAAAGTAACAAAGCCTACCATCAGTAACACACTACGGCGCCAGGGACTCCTGCAGTGCCAGATGTGTCCCCCTGCTTAAGCCAGTACATGTCCAGGCCCATCTGAAGTTTGCTAGAGTGCATTTGGATGATCCAGAAGAGGATTGGGAGAATGTCATATGGTCAGATGAAACCAAAATAGAACTTTTTGGTAAAAACTCAACTCGTCGTGTTTGGAGGACAAAGAATGCTGAGTTGCATCCAAAGAACACCATACCTACTGTGAAGCATGGGGGTGGAAACATCATGCTTTGGGGCTGTTTTTCTGTAAAGGGACCAGGACGACTGATCCGTGTAAAGGAAAGAATGAATGGGGCCATGTATCGTGAGATTTTGAGTGAAAACCTCCTTCCATCAGCAAGGGCATTGAAGATGAAACGTGGCTGGGTCTTTCAGCATGACAATGATCCCAAACACACCGCCCGGGCAACGAAGGAGTGGCTTCATAAGAAGCCTTTCAAGGTCCTGGAGTGGCCTAGCCAGTCTCCAGATCTCAACCCCATAGAAAATCTTTGGAGGGAGTTGAAAGTCTGTGTTGCCCAGCGACAGCCCCAAAACATCACTGCTCTAGAGGAGATCTGCATGGAGGAATGGGCCAAAATACCAGCAACAGTGTGTGAAAACCTTGTGAAGACTTACAGAAAACGTTTGACCTGTGTCATTGCCAACAAAGGGTATATAACAAAGTATTGAGAAACTTTTGTTATTGACCAAATACTTATTTTCCACCATAATTTGCAAATAAATTCAATAAAAATCCTACAATGTGATTTTCTGGAGAAAAAAAAATCTCATTTTGTCTGTCATAGTTGACGTGTACCTATGATGAAAATTACAGGCCTCTCTCATCTTTTTAAATGGGAGAACTTGCACAATTGGTGGCTGACTAAATACATATGTACTCCCCACTGTATATATGTATGTATGTGTATATATATGTGTGTGTATGTATGTGTATATGTGTATGTGTATGTGTGTATATATACAGTGCCCTCCACAATTATTGGCACCCCTGTTTAAGATGTGGTCGAGGACTTCCAAAAATTCTCCTTTTTTTTTAAACAACATAGAACCCAAATGCAAAAAAATAGAAAAATCCAACCTTTTATTTAAGTACATTACTTTGGTGTAAAAAAATAAAATCACACATTTAGAAAAAAATAAACTTGAAATCATGTGTCCCACAATTATTGGCACCCCTGATGTTAATACTTTGTACAACCCCCTTTTGCCAACAAGACAGCACTTAATCTCCTCCTATAACATTTCACAAGATTGGAGAACACAGAGAGAGGGATCTTTGACCATTCTTCTTTGCACAATCTTTCTAGATCATCCAGTATCCTGGGTCCTCTCTTATGCACTCTCCTCTTTAGCTCGCCCCACAGGTTTTCGATTGGGTTGAGGTCTGGGGACTGAGATGGCCATGGGAGGACCTTGAGTTTGTGACTGCTGAACCATTTTTGTGTAGATTTTGCCACATGTTTTGGATCATTATCCTGCTGAAAGACCCAATGACGACCCATCTTCAGCTTTCTGGCAGAGGCCATCAGGTTTTTATTTAAAATGTCCTGGTAGTTCAAAGCGTTCATAATGCCATGCACCCTAACAAGGTTCCCAGGGCCTTTGGAAGAGAAACAGGCCCACAGCATCACAGATCCTCCACCATACTTCACGGTGGGCATGAGGTGCTTTTCGGCATACTCATCTTTTGTTTTACGCCAGACCCACTTAGAGTGTTTGTTGCCAAAAAGCTCAATCTTAGTCTCATCTGACCAAAGCACACGATCCCAGTTGAAGTCCCAGTGCCGCTTAGCAAACTCCAGACGTTTACGTTTGTGAGTGTTAGTGAGAAAAGGCTTTTTCCTTGCATGCCTCCCAAACAGCTTGTTGGCATGTAGAGAGCGTCTGATGGTTGTTTTGGAGACTTTGTGACCCCAAGATGCCACTCTTTGATGCAATTCTGTGACAGTGAGCTTAGGACTTTTTTTTACTTCTCTTACCATCCTCCTCACTGTGCGTTGTGGCAAGATAAACTTGGGACCTCTTCCAGCCTTGTTTGTCACTGTTCCAGTTGTTTTAAACTTCTTAATGATTCCTCTGACTGTAGATACGGGCAAGTTAAGGCGAGTGGCTATTTTCTTGTAGCCATTGCCTGACTTATGAATGTCGACACAAATCTGCCTTACTTGAATGGTGTGTTCTCTTGTCTTTGCCATGTTGACAAATGGGTAAGAGAATTAGGCCTCGGTGTCACGTCATATTTATACCCCAGGGAAACAGGAAGTCATGAATTACTAATTAAAAGTTCCTAGATACCCTGACCAACTTTAGCAACTACAGAAAAATATATATTTTTAAAAATCAATTAAAATTTTCAGCGGAATTGTTAGGGGTGCCAATAATTGTGGGACACATGATTTCAAGTTTGATTTTTTTCTAAATGTGTGATTTTTTTTTTACCACCAAAGTAATGTACTTAAAAAAAGGTTGGATTTTTCTATTTTTTTGCATTTGGGTTCTATGTTGTTTAAAAAAAAAGGAGAATTTTTGGAAGTCCTCGACCACATCTTAAACAGGGGTGCCAATAATAGTGGAGGGCACTGTATATATATTTGCGAGAAAATATAGAATTAAAATATATATATTTATATACAAATTAAAAAAATACTTCCCACAGTTGTGTCAAGTTGGCTGAATGTACTTTGGGTGGTGGACCATTCTTGATACACACAGGAAACTGTTGAGTGTGAAAAACCCAGCAGCTTTGCAGTTCTTGACACACTCAAACCGGTGCGCCTGGCACCTAACAGTGGTATAAAGTAAAACTTATTTTAAGCACTACTTAAGTATTTTCGGGGGGTATCTGTACTTTACTTTACGATTTATATTTTTGACTACTTTTACTTTTAGTCCACTACATTCCTAAAGAAAATAATGTACTTTTTACTCCATACATTTTCTCTGACACCCAAAAGTACTTGGTACATTTCGAATGCTTAGCAGGACAGGAAAATGGTCCAATTCACACACTTACCAAGAGAACATCCCTGGTCATCTCTACTGCCTCCTATCTGGTGGACTCAATAAACACAAATGGTTCATTTGTAAATGATGTCTGAGTGTTGGAGTGTGCCCCTGGCTATCCGTAAATAAAAAATACAAGAAAATAGTGCCATCTGGTTTGCTTAATATAAGGAATGTGAAACTATTCATACTTTTACTCTTAATTTTGATACTTAGGTATATTTTAGCAATTTCATTTACTTTTGACGCTTACGTATATTTAAAACCAAATACTTTTAGACTTTTACTCAAGTAGTATTTTACTGGGTGACTTTACTTGTACTTGAGTCAATTACCATTAAGGTATCTTCACTTTTACTCAGGTATGACAATTGGGTACTTTTGTATGTGTTTGTGACTCTGTGAATGTGTGAGTGTGTGTGTGTGTGTGTGTGTGTGTATGTGGTAGGTGAGCGCTGTGTCAGTGGGAGTGAAGACCGCCTCTGCCCCTCAGGGAGCGTGCCCAGATCTATCCATCCAGCCTTCCAACCTACTGCCACACCTAACATATCCTACTAATTGTAATTTGTAACATATCATACGAAATGGATGATGGACATCCACAAATTAATACATACCATACGAAACGTAACATATCATACTAAATGGAGTATCCCGTATTTACATACAAAATAATACGAAATGCTCTGAGACCAGGTTGCAGCGTTACACTGGTGCCGAGACTAGTGTTCTTGTCTTCGCTGTACATCTGTTACACTGAGTCTCACTCTCGCTTTTACTATTATTGCCTGTTGGCACTGTAAAGATGAGCAATAGGTAGATGATGTCATCATTGTCCTTCAAGGGACTGTAACTTGAGTCAATGACAGATGTTTCTACAGTTTCAGTGATATGAATGGACACTGGGTTTAAATGAGGAGGACACCCCCACGCCCCTTACCTTCTGGTCTGGTCTGGGTTTTAGGTCTTGTTTCTCATGGGCTCCAGTCATGAAGCAGGAAGATCTAATACACAACAACCCTGGCCTTCCCTGACAATCTTTCTCACACTACCGCCCATCCTCCCTGTAGTACCTCAACCTACCAGAGGGGGCGCACAGCACAAGACAACACTGCCCCCATTCACGTCACAGCACCAGATTACACGGCCCTCATTCACGTCACAGCACCAGATTGCAAGGCCTCCATTCACGTCACAGCACCAGATTGCAAGGCCTCCATTCACGTCACAGCACCAGATTGCAAGGCCTCCATTCACGTCACAGCACCAGATTACAAGGCCTCCATTCACATCACAGCACCAGATTACACGGCCCCTATTCACGTCACAGCCCCAGATTACACGGCCCCCATTCACGTCACAGCCCCAGATTACACGGCCCCCATTCACATCACAGTAACATAATCCTCCTGACCCAGGCAGGGAAAGCTACCATTTAAATCTTCCAAATCCTGAGGAAAAGTACAGGATATGACTTGGAAGATTACACTTCCCTTTAACATCCTTCCACTCCCCTCTTCTCCCTCTATCTCTCCATCCCCCTTTCCTCCCCTCATCCCCCCATCCCAAAGAAAAGGGCTGATGAAGGCATTTCATCCCTGTACACTTCCGTATTCCTCCCATCGCTCCCTGTCCGACCCAGGCTGAGGCTCCGGCATCGTTAGCTCACTGCAGGCCTAATTGGGGCCTGTCTAAAAACCCGGGCCCCCAGAGGCCACTCTAATGAATACAGACTATAATTAATGCCATGGTGACGGATATTGCCTTTTTGCCTACAGGGCTGGGCCTGTCCCACGCTCGCTGCTCTTACACCAACTTCTCATCACTTTCTCTCTCTTTGACTCTCCTCACTCTCTCCCTTTCTCTCTATCCCTCCTTGTGTAAGTGTGTATGTGTGTGTGTGTGTGTGTGTAGTAGGTGAGCACTGTGTCAGTGGGAGTGAAGACAAGAGCCATCCATCCAGCCTTCCAACCTACTGTCACATCTGATAGATACACCCTGGACAGGCCCCTCTCTCTCTCTCTCTCTCCCTCTCTCTCTCTCTCTCTCTCTCTCCCTCTCTCTCTCTCTCTCTCTCTCTCTTTTCACATCTGTCTCCCTGCAGCAGCTCTATTCTTTCTCTCCCTCATCTTTCCCTCCCATCTTTCTATCTCTCGCTGTGTCTGTCTGGAGACGGTAGGTAGCCTAGCGGTTAAGAGTGTTGGGTCATTAACCGAAAGGTCTCTGGTTTCAAATCCGCCGGCAATGTGGAAAAATCTGCCCTTGAGCAAGACAGTTAACAACAACTGCTCCCTGATGACATCAATTAAGGCAGCCCTCTCTGATTCAGAGTTGGGATAAATGCAAAAGATACATTTTGGATGAATGCGTTCAGTTGTGCAACTAACTAGGTTTCCCTTTCTCTCCCCTCTATGTCTTCTTGCAGAGAAAAATCTGTCCAGTAGCCTGTAGCCTAAAAGCAATGGATTAATGTCTGAATGGTCATTCATTTCAGAATAAGCAACAACAAACCTATTTTAGACCATTGTGGGTTTAGCTAATAATTCTACATAGGAAAAAACAGTCAACCATTGAGCTCTACCAGATAATGAAGAGACTGGCTGGACTGTCAGCACCATAGACAGCAACAACATCAACACTGGCAAGTGGCAACTAGAGGTGGGGAGTCGACTCCAAAATAATCGATTCCTCAATTCCTTGCAAATCGACTCCCGGTGTCAACTCCCATTTCTGTGTGTCAAGTTTCGATTCAGTATTTTTGCAACGGAGAAAACTCTTTTCTGTAGTCTACTTAGAGATCACAAACTCGCATATTTTACAGCCAATGAAGAGGGAGCTAGCATGAGAGAGAGAGAGAGAGAGAGAGAGAGAGAGATGGGAGAACTGTGCATCGGTTTCATAGCGAAGAGAAAGAGGATCAGGCGAGGGAGATAGAGGGCAAAGAGCAAATACGGTTCAGCAGCTCAAATCAGCAGGATGGGGGGCATTGTTTTTAGGAAGGACGTCAACCATGGATAGATCGCTAAAATTATGATTATGATCACATTTCATCACGTCATCAATTTAAATATTATTGAGAGACCTATACATTTGGCAGCCAAGCACGAGTTATCAGTGTAGTGTAGCCTATTATCGTCTAGACATGAAGTCTTCAAGCCTACAATGAAAACCTCCAGGCTTCCGTCGTAAGAGTCAATTCAATTGTTGGAACTAGGAACATTTCGCTACACCCGCAATAACGTCTGCTAAATATGTGTATGTGACCAATACAATTTTATTTGAATTACAACAAATTAAGAATTACAGGGGGCAGTTTGGAAAACTAATCCTGTGTGAATCGTCCTCTGTAATAACGCACATGCTTAGATAATAATTACAAAACCAACTTCTCTAGTAATACCCGTCCGAATAGGGCTATAACATGGCAAAGAATAGGCTTATCACCGCATCATCCCATGGGATCCGTCAAGGCGCCGCACAGCAGAAATATCACTGAAATATTCTAGTTCCTACATATCACCTTATATATCCAAACAAAATAGGCATTTTATAGGCAAATGGTAAGCATCATGCTCATGTCTGTCCTCTAGAACGCAAATGCGGTATTCCTAGTAGGACTGCAATAATGAGTTGATGTGTGTGTGTGTGCGCGACTCCAACCACAGAAGTCGGAGTCGACTCCAAAAATCCCAGAGTCGTGCACCACTCGTCGCAACTGGGCAGAGAGAGTTCAGTCAGTGATTTTCCACTCTCTTTCCCGCGGTTGTATGTTTGCCGCCAGAAGTTGTCTCGCGGTCCAGTAGGCTTGCTCAGTTGCTCGCGAAATTTACCTCAGTTCTGAGACACTTGAGTTGTGGATGGTCGGGGTTATATTGGCTACTTTTTCCGAACAACTGTTTCAAAAGGCAGGTAATTTAGCTAGCTAGCAAGAATAACAGGCTATACATTGTGCAACATTGCTATGTTATCAGCAATATTGAGAATAATTTGTTAGCTCGGTAATGTATCTAAGTTAGCTAAATTACCATCAACAAGTTCGCCAGTGCTAAATTAGCTAGCTAACGTTACTGTACTGTACTAAAATAAATGTAGCTAGCTAGTGGTAGCTAGCTAGCTAAAAGGCTAACGTTAGCTAGTATACCAAAATTGTCAAATTAGCAACCTGCTGACAAATTAACAGTTGATAATGATATTAGCTAACACATTTACTATATTTCGATTTTGACTACCAATAAGTGTAGCTAGAAGTTCAGGGGCAAATAACTTCAGGGAGGACAACAGCAAGCAAGGATGAGTTCTTCGGAAGAGGTGAGTTGAAAAATGCCTAGCTAGCCTATCAGTTATGGTAACTAACTAGCATAGACAAAGATACTGATGATGGAGAGGTAACATTGCTATAACATTTAGCCATCTATCTAGCTAGGTAGCTATCTGATATGTTCAGTTGATTTCTGATTGTGCTATTTGTACCTGAGCCAACGTTATACACCTGTACACCCTGCTAGGATGACTTTCATGATTTGAAGACCTATTTCTCAAAGATGGAATGGGCCCATCTAGTGAAATGTGAGAAAGTACGGTACAGAAACTTGAAGAGGAACCACCTGGCTATGCTTACTATAGGTAAGTGTCCCAGATTTGAACAGAGACAAAACGAAGTTTAGATTCATCACTATTACTTTAGTTTTTTTTTTTTTTACTCCTGTCCAAGAGGAGTCTCTCTGCCTTTGTGTTGTATTGAGCCATGTCTCTACTCACTGGCGTAAAGGTAGCTAACTCAGTTCCGTACATATGTGGGCAACCGCGGCATTCAAACGAGGCTGCAATAAAAACGAATGGTACTGGAGCGACTGTGTTGGCATCAAAATCCGGGGTGTGAACTAAGTTCCGATTCAGCGTTGATTGACATGCAAATAGACCAATAGTATTGGAGAAAAGTTGAAAAAACTGACCCGCTGACAACGACGTAATGTATGGCACGCATTATTCAGTCCTTCTGTGCCATACAGCCTCTTTCCACCAGGTGTAGCGCTTCTCTCGCAGATTAAAAACAAGAAATGATCAATGGCGAGTGTAATGGTGAGTGTAAAGTTAATTACTCTTGAGTTCATCAATAGTTAATTTAATCAATAGTTAATTTTCACTGCGAGCCATCATGACTCTCAAAAACCGTGACACCCACAGTTTAATTGTGAAGATAAATTTAGCGCTGCCCCAAAAACCCTATTCAAATTCAACACAAACCTTCAAATAGGTATGTAATGAGACATTATATACACTCTATAGTATTTTATTTACATTTTAGAGGTGATAAGTTAGACAAATCGGGTGAAAAAAGCTGGTTCCCCACACAACATATCTCCCCCTTTCACTATGACGCAGTAGCTTTTGCTTCCTCACCCGCCATTTAAAAAAAGACCCGGCGGAGCTCCATTGCTTTCTTCAATCATGCAGAAATGGGCAGCATGAAGGTCTCGTTATGGATTTTGCTGGAAAGGGGAGAAAGTGTGCTTTACGATGGTATTTATATTACAGTTGACCTGAAAGTATTACGTTTTGGGGGCGCTAAAACAAGGTCAAATGTACGGATCGTTACCACCCAACTCGCAGCTCCCGCAAGGCGTGGGGCCCAAATTACCCTGGAGGATACCTCCCCCTCCCCATATAGCATATGAACACGTAATAAAGCCCTGGATTTATTTTATTTTATTAGAGGAAATTCGCTGTAAAACTGCAAAATTTTTGCTCAGACCTTGCTTGTCCCCACGAAACTACGGTACACCACTCTCTCTACTGTGTGTTGTATTGATCAGTGTCTCTACTATGTGTGCTAATGTGTCCCTCAGGGCTGAACTCCCCAGTACCTGCGTTTATGAGGAGAGGCAGACCTAAATTGGTGAACACCGCTCCGCTTCTTGCACCCAGTGACTCCGAGGAGGATGAGTGGACCCCTCGACTGGAGAGATGCCCACCAGGTAGAGCAGTATTGATAAACGAGGATCTTATCATATCATGTTAGTAGAAAGGTAGGGTTAGGAGAAGGCCTGTTAGTACTAGTCTATGATGCTGATTGAATATCAGAGAAACAGGAACCTAACTCAGAATGACTCTACTCAGTGTGACTAGTAGGTAGGACCTACCCAGGTACCACTAGGCTAGTAGACAGGTAGGGCTAAAGGAGTGGAAGGTATCCTAAAATAAGTGAAGTGGTCTGTGTTACTGCTAGGGCAAACCCGTTTTGGTGATGTCTGGTATATCATCAAAATCAACCAATCAGAGCACATTTTTGGACCCATTCAGCGGGGGAGGGGAGGGGGGGGGGATATGCGCTGTTGAAACTACCACAACTCAAAAACCACATGGAAGCTGGAGATATTTTTTACATCACTGGTTAGAGGACAACCTGCAGAACACATTCAGTTACATTTTTATATGGGCTTTCCAAAACAGAAAGAGTAACGCAACACTGTTTTGTCAATCACTCATCGATTATCAGGGTGAAATCAATTGCGCAAGAGCGGGGAGATGAGGTTGCATGTCCTGTTAAAACGAACACAGCTCAAAAAACACACGGAATCTGGGAATAATGTGTACATCACTGGTTAGAGGACAATTTGTAGAAGACAGCTAGCTACATTTTGAAGTGTTGCATTTTGTTTAAAGTGGGTCGCCAACATGGTAAGTCTAACGCAACGCTTTTTTTGTTAATAATTTCCATCGAATTCACGCTGAAATCAATAGAACAAGGGGCAAACGTTTGGGTTGTAGTGCTGTTAAAACGAACACTATTCATTGTTCACACAGAAACTTGACAGGTAGCCTAGTGGTTAAGCGCATTGGGCAAATAACTGAAAGGTTGTTGGTTCGAGTCCCTAAGCTGATTAGGTGGAAATTCTGACAAAGTTCTGCCTTGAGCAAGGCAGTTAACCCTAATTGCTCCTGTAAGTGCCTCTGGATAAGTTTCTGCTAAATGACACATATATATTTATACAGTGCCTTTGGAAATTATTCAGACCCCTTGATTTTTTCCACATTTTGTTACGTTACAGCCTTAATCTAAAATTGATTAAATACATGTTTTCCCTCATTAATTTACACACAATACCCCATAATGGCAAAACGAAAACAGGTTTTTAGAAATTTTAGCAGATATTTATATAAAAAAACAAAAACTTATTTACATAAGTATTCAGACCTTTTGCTATGAGACTCGAAATTGAGCTCAGGTGCATCCTGTTTCCATTGATCATCCTTGATATGTTTCTACAACTTGATTAGAGTCCACCCACCTGTGGTAAATTCTATTGATTGGTCATGATTTGGAAAGGCACACACCTGTCTATAAAAGGTCCCACAGTTGACAGTGCATGTCAGAGCAAATACCAAGCCATGAGGTCGAAGGAATTGTCCGTAGAGCTCCGAGACAGGATTGTGTCGAGGCATCTGGGGGACGGTACCAAAACATTTCTGCAGCATTGAAGATACCAAAGAAAACAGTGGCCCCCATTATTCTTAAATGGAAGCTGTTTGGAACCACCAAGGCTCTTCCTAGAGCTGGCCACCCTGCCAAACCTGGTGGTTCCAAACTTCTTCCATTTAAGAATGATGGAGACCACTGTGTTCTTGGGGACCTTCAATGATGCAGACATTTTTTGGTACCCTTCCCCAGATCTGTGCCTCGACACAATCCTGTCTCGGAGCTCTGGACAATTCCTTCGAACTCATGGCTTGGTATTTGCTCTGACATGCACTGTGAACTGTGGGAATGTCACACCCTGATCTGTTTCACCTGTCTTGTGATTGTCTCCAACCGCCACCAGGTGTCTCCCATTACCTCATGTGTATTTATACCTGCGTTTTCTGTTTGTCTGTTGCCAGTTGGTCTTGTCCCGTCATGTCCTACCAGCGTGTTCCCGTGTTTCCTGTGTTCTAGTTTTTGCTTTTTCTAGTCTTCACAGTTCTGACCTTTCTGCCTGACCTGACCCTGATACTGCCTGCCATCCTGTACCTGCCTGACTCTGATTTGGATTACGACTCTTTGCCTGCCTTGACCTACCGATTGCCTGCCCCTTGTACTGTAATAAACTCTGAGACTCGTACTATCTGCCTCCTGTGTCTGCATCTGGGTCTTAGCCTGAGCCTCGATAGTACGTACTAGCCATGACTGACCCAGCAGACTCGGACCAGCTCCGCATCGCTGTCTCCTCCCAAGGAGCCACCAATGGAAGACACGAGGGGTTATGACAAAGCCTTATGGAGGGACTCCATACCATGGCAGAACGCCATGACCATGCGTTCAATACATTGCTGGAGCAATTCTGCGGATTCCCAACTAGGCAGCAAGCCACAACAGTAAACCCCCAGACTCTCAGCAACCCCGCCACCAGCGGCTCTTCTTCCCAGCCTACCCCGTGTCCCGAGAACCTTGCTTACCTCCTCTGGAGCGAAAGCTGGAGATTCTGGAATCTGACGGGTGTTTCTCTCCCAGTGCTCCCTCATCTTCGAGCTGCAGCCTTCTTCGTTTCCCTCGGACCGCTCGAAGATGGCGTACTTGATAACGCTGATGTCCGGGAGGGCCCTCGCCTGGGCTACGGCGGTGTGGGATCAACAGTCCACCGTTTGACTCAGTCTGGAAGAGTTTGTGGCGGAGGTACGAAAAGTGTTCGATTCTCCATGGTCCGGGAAAGAGGCTGCTCGTAAGCTGCTCCAACTACGTCAAGAATCTCGTAGTGTGGCAGACTACGCAGTGGATTTTCGCACATTAGCGGCTGAGAGTGCCTGGAAGCCCTGTTTGACATGTTCCTTCACGGATTATTGGAGTTGATTTAAAGACTGAGCTCGCAGCCCGGGAGCTGCCCATGGACCACGACTCCCTCATAGCCTTGACCATTCGGATCGATGGGCGGCTACGGGAACGTAGGAGGGAGAGGGGGTCTGTTCCCTGTCGCCCTCAAATTCCACCTCGCCTTTGGGGAATCCCGGAAATCCCTGAAGGCTACATTTCTGTGGGAGTCTGGTGTCTCCCGAGTTCCCTCTGAGATCACCGAGGGCTGCCGACTCGCCTCCTCCAGAGCCCATGCAACTGGGCAGGACTAGATTGTCCCCTGCTGAGCGCTTAAGTGGACGGAACACTAAGAGCTGTCTGTATTTCTTATCTACCTGTCCATTAAAAGACCAGGCTCATCAGTAGGTACGAGTACACTGGTGAGCCGTTAGGGGAGTTTCCAATCTCTCTCTACTCGTAACCCCCTCCTATGCTACCCTGTTGTGGGGAGACAAGTCCAAATCCATCCGGGTGCTCATTGACTCTGGGGCCGACGAGAGCTTTATGGATACTACCCTGGTGTTGGAGCTGTGTATCTCCACTCAACCCCTTTCCATCCCGATGGACATCAGAGCGCTGGATGGGCGCTCAATGGGCAGAATCACTCACAATACGGTTCCTATCAACCTGCGAGTGTCAGGCAACCACAGTGAGGCTATGCAGTTTCTGCTCCTGGAGTCTCCTCATGTACCCAGGGTTTTGGGGTTTTCATGGCTCCAGAGGCACAATCCCCCGTATCTACTGGGCTACGGGTTCCATCATGGGTTGGAGTCCGTTTTGCCATGCACATTGTCTGAAGTCGGCGCAGCCTGCTCCGGGACGTCTCCCTGCGGGCTTGGGTATACCTTCGGATCTCTCCGCCATTCCAATGGCGGAGTACCAGAACTTACCGGAGGTTTTCAACTGCCCCCGCCACATCTCTTCCTCCGCATCGGCCCGACTGTGCAATCGACCTTCTCCCGGGCACTGCACCACCTCGGGGGCGACTTTATTCCCTGTCGGGTCCGGAGACCAAAGCTATGGAAGGGTACGTTGAGGACTCTCTCGCTGCAGGGATTATGCATCCATCTGCCTCCCCTGCTAGCGCAGGGTTCTTCTTTGTGGAGAAGAAGGACAAGACCCTGCGTCTATGTATCGACTACCGGGGTCTTAATGACATTACGGTTAAAACCCGTTACCCACTACCACTCATCTCCTCTGCTTTCGAGCCTCTCCAGAGGTCGGTCATCTTCACCAAGTTAGACCTTCGGAACGCCTGGCATCTGGTTCGGATACGGGAAGGAGACGAGTGGAAGACAGCCTTCAACACGGCTAGCGGGCACTATGAGTGCCTGGTGATGCCGTTCGGACTGACCAACGCTCCCGCAGTGTGCCAGGCCCTGGTCAATGATGTGCTCCGTGACATGTTGAATCGATTTGTGTTTGTATACCTCGACGACATGCTCATTTATTCCCGGTCAGCTCCAGAGCACGTTCTCCAGCATCTCCTGGAGAACCAGCTTTTCGTGAAGGTGGAGAAATGTGAGTTCCATCGCTCTACCATCTCCTTCCTAGGATACGTCATCGCTGCAGGGAATATTCAGATGGGCCCTGACGAGGTGAGAGCAGTGGTGGATTGGCCTCAACCCACATCCAGAGTGCAGCTGCAACGTTTCCAGGGGTTTGCTAATTTCTACTGTCGGTTCATCCAGGGTTACAGCACCCTTGCTTCCCCCCTCTCTGCACTCACCTCTCCCAAGGTTCCGTTCATATGGTCTCCAGCAGCTGACCGGGCTTTCTCAGACATCAGGCAGCGATTCACTTCAGCTCCCATCTTAATCCATCCGGACCCATCCCGTCAGTTTGTGGTGGAGGTCGACGCCTCGGCTGTCGGAGTAGGGGCTGTCCTTTCCCAGCGTTCTGCCCAGGACCAGAAGCTGCATCCCTGCGCCTTCCTTTCCCATCATCTTAACCCCGCTGAGAGGAAGTATGACGTGGGAAATCGAGAATTACTCACAGTCAAGATGGCGTTGGAGGAATGGAGGCACTTGTTAGAACGGGCGGAACACCCATTCTTGGTGTGGACGGACCATAAGAGCATGGAATATCTCCGCACCGCCAAGCACCTCAACTCCAGGCAGGCGAGATGGGCCCTGTTATTCACTCGTTTCCATTTCACTATCTCCTACCATCCGGGGTCCAATAATGTGAAGCCTGACGTACTCTCACGTCTGTACAGCCCCGCTACTACACCATCGGACCCCGAGACCATCCTCCCTACTTCCTGTCTAGCGGCTGCTATCATCTGGGGAATAGAGAGGGGGGGCCCGGCTAACCGGATGTTTGTCCCGGACTCTGCCCGTGCTCCGGTCCTGGAATGGGCACATTCCTCAAGACTCACCTGGCTCCCGTCGGACCTAGGCTTTTGTCCATCAACGTTTTTGGTGGCCCACCATAGTTCCTGACGTTTCCGCGTTCGTTGCTGCCTGCACTGTGTGTGCGCAGAACAAGACTCCGTGGCAAGCTCCGGCTAGCCTCCTTCAACCACTCCCTGTTCCTCACCGCCCCTGGTCCCATATATCCTTGGACTTCGTCACGGGTCTCCCTCCGTCAGAGGGCAACACCACCATCCTTACGGTGGTGGATAGGTTTTCCAAAGCCGCGCATTTGATCCCCCTTCCTAAGTTGCCCTCAGCTAAAGAGACGGCCCAGCTCATGGTGCAGCACGTTTTCCGGATCCATGGACTTCCAGTGGACATGGTCTCCGATCGCGGTCCTCAGTTCTCATCCCGGTTCTGGAACATTTCTGCACCCTCATTGGGTCGTCGGCCAGCCTGTCCTCTGGTTTTCACCCTCAATCTAACGGCCAGTCAGAGCGAGCCAATCAGGATCTGGAGAAGACTCTTCTTTGCCTCGTCTCCACCAATCCCAAACTGGAGCCAGCAACTCGTGTGGGTGGAATATACCCGCAACACCCTTCCCTGTTCTGCTACTGGTCTCTCGCCTTTTGAGTGTTCCCTGGGATATCAGCCCCCGCTCTTCCCGGAGTAAGAGGAAGAGGTCATCATACCTTCTGCTCAGATGTTCATCCGTCTCTGTCACCGTACCTGGAAGAGAGCCCGGGCCGCTCTTCTCAAGACCACCTCCAGGTATCGACGACAGGCGTACCGCCACCGGACCCCTGCTCCCTGCTACCGTCTTGGGAAGAGGGTATGGCTTTCCACTCAGGATCTGCCCCTCCGGGTGGAGTCCTGCAAACTTTCCCCCCGTTTTATCGGCCCTTTCCCCATCTCTAAGGTCCTTAGCCCCTCTGCTGTTCGCCTTCTGTTGCCCCGCACCCTCCGTATACATCCCGCTTTCCATGTATCTAGAATTAAACCCCTGTCTCACAGCCCTTTGTCTCCTGTTTCCAGGCCCACCCCACTCCCCCGTCTCATCGACGACCATCCGGCGTACACGGTGAGGCGCCTCCTGAGTGTTCGACCTCGAGGCAGGGGATTCCAGTACCTGGTTGACTGGGAGGGTTATGGCCCGGAGGAGAGGTGTTGGGTCCCCACCAGGAATATCCTTGACCCAGCCCTCATCACAGACTTCCGCCGTCGACATCCTGGTCAACCAGGTGTGCCGCCCCTAGAGGGGGGAGTAATGTCACACCCTGATCTGTTTCACCTGTCTTGTGATTGTCTCCAACCCCCCCCAGGTGTCTCCCAATACCTTGTGTATTATACCTGCATTTTCTGTTTGTCTGTTGCCAGTTCTTCTTATCCCGTCAAGTCCTACCAGCGTGTTCTCGTGTTTCCTGTGCTCTAGTTTTTGCTTTTTCTAGTCTTCCCAGTTCTGACCTTTCTGCCTGACCTGACCCTGATCCTGCCTGCCGTCCTGTACCTGCCTGACTCTGATTTGGATTACGACTCTTTGCCTGCCTTGACCTACCAATTGCCTGCCCCTTGTACTGTAATAAACTCTGAGACTCATACTATTCACCTCCTGTGTCTGCATCTGGGTCTTAGCCTGAGCCGTGATAGGGACCTTATATAGACAGGTGTGTGCCTTTCCAAATCATGTCCAATCAATTGATTGACTCAAACGCATTAAGAAGAAAATTAATTCCACAAACTATCTTTTAAGAAGGCACACCTGTTAATTGAAATGCATTCCAGGTGACTACCTCATGAAGCTGGTTGAGAGAATGCCAATAGTGTGCAAAGCTGTCATCAAAGCAAAGGGTGGCAATTTGAAGAATCTCAATATATAAAATATATTTTGATTTGTTTAACACTTTTTTGGTTACTACATGATTCCATATGTGTTATTTCATAGTTTTGATGTCTTCACTATTATTCTACAATGTAGAAAATAGTAAAAAGAAAGAAAACCTTTGAATGAGTAGGTGTGTCCAAACCTTTGACTGGTACTGTACATTAATTAGATAAATAATAATTAAATATCTTAAGTTAGGAAGATAGTAAATGAAGTAAACTCACAGATTTCTTTATATAATCACATATATTTAACCATTTAGCGATAAATAAAAAATGCTCCCAATTTAACCAGGCGCTCTAGGCTGGTGTCCATAGGGTCTGTGCAGCAGGCTGAACGTTTGACGTCCTTAATAGAGGAAGTCGGTTAGTAGCCAGGCAGGGCTTATATTAGTTCTCTGATCTGTCCTCACAGCACCACGGAGCTTCCGACCCCCAACCAGGAGACCAGCAGCGTCTCGGGGAGTCCCTCAGCCTGACAAACCTGCCACGCCTGCTACACCTACGGTACAGGTACCTGTTTTAAAAAGAAACACCTGGACAGATGCATATTATACATCTGGTGAGTTTTTGTTTCTCTTCGGCGCTATACTAGCAGATACTGGTGCTCTCAAGGACTGGAGCTATGAAGTGTGAACCAATGAATTTGTTATGTGTACGCCGGGAGTCAGAAAGCAAGTGCAGAACGTTAATTTAATAATGAACTGATGCAAAGGAGCAAACATGAGAAGCGTACTGAACGTGAGAGAAAACAATAACACCTAGTGACTGATGACAACTGAGGGCTAAATAAAGGGGGAGTAATCAGGGTAGTGATGATGTCCAGGTGTGTGTAATGATGGTTGCCAGGTGTGCGTAAATGCTGGGTTGCCAGGACCGGTGGTTAGTAAACCGGCGGCGGTGCAGTGGAACGGGAGTAGACATGACAGAATAAAATTATGCTTGTACAGTGCCTTCAGAAAGTATTCATACCCCTTGACTTATTCCACATTTTGTTGTGTTACAGCCTGAATTCAAAATGTTCTGTATGTAATTGCCCTACTGTAGATGAAGAGGGCTGACAACTCTGTCTATTCATCATTGTCATATTTGTCATATAATGCTCTGTGCCCCCACCCCCCTCCTTTGGTCCTCAGCAGCCCCCCAGCAGCGAGGAGGCAGGACCCAGTAATATGGGGACAGAACCCGCCCAGCCATTAATGGAGGAGCTGACTAAAGAAGTGGCCTTCCTCAGAGACGTCAGCAAAGTAGACACACACAGTGGAGTACAGGAGGGGCTAGGAGACAATGTGTGTGTTACTGTCATACACATAACACAACACACAATATATTTTCATTAATGTTGCTTCAAAACAAAGGTCAAGTGATGATGACACACAGACCCAGAGGTCAGTTTGAACTCTCCTCTTGTCTCTTTCCAGGAGGGTCAGAGTGAAGCGACCCCCAGCACCAGTGGAGGGGGGGCAGACACCCCAGCTGTCACTCAGGGAGGGGCTCCCTTGTTGCACCCCAAACCATCAACCTCCGGTAAGACAGACAATAGACTGTTGAGTTGGTGATTTAAAACCCATCTGTTTAATTTGGCTTTAGCAAAATTGCTTATTTTGGTGTGTGTGTGTGTGTGTGTGTGTGTGTGTGTGTGTGTGTGTGTGTGTGTGTGTGTGGTGTGTGTGTGTGTGTGTGTGTGTGTGTGTGTGTGTGTGTGTGTGTGTGTGTGTGTGTGTGTGTGTGTGTGTGTGTGTGTGTGTGTGTGTGTGTGTGTGTGTGTGTGTGTGTGTGTGTGTGTGTGTGTGTGTGTGTGTGTGTACCAGGCCTGTCTAAGAGAGAGTGTCTGGAAAAGCAGAAAGCGGAGCTGAACACATACATGCGCGGCAGAAACCTGAAAGACAGACCAAGAATCACTTACACAGAGGAGGAGGTCCCCAAAGATGACCACTACCTCTGTAAGTCATATTATCTCTCTCTCTCTCTTTATTGGCATGGGAAACGTATGTTAACATTACCAAAGCAAGTGAAGTAGATAGTAAACAAAAGTGAAATAAACAATAGAAATAAACAGTAAACATTACACTCAGAAGGTCCAAAAGAATAAAGACATTTCAAATGTCATATTATGTATATATACAGTGTTGTAACAATGTGCAAATAGTTAAAGTACAAATGGGAAAATAAATAAACATAAATATGGGTTGTGTTTACAATGGTGTTTGTTCTTCACTGGTTGCCCTTTTCTTGTGGCAACAGGTCACAAATTTTGCAGCTGTGATGGCACACTGTGGTTTTTCACCCAGTAGATAAGGGAGTTTATCAAAATTGGGTTTGTTTTCGAATTCTTTGTGGATCTCTGTAATCTGAGGGAAATATGTGTCTCTAATATGGTCATACATTTGGCAGGTGGTTAGGAAGTGTAGCTCAGTTTCCACCTCATTTTGTGGGCAGTGTGCACATAGCCTAAGGCGGCCTTTCTCAATAGCAAGGCTATGCTCACTGAGTCTGTACATAGTCAAAGCTTTCCTTAAGTTTGGGTCAGTCACAGTGGTCAGGTATTCTACCACTGTGTACTCTCTGTTTAGGGCCAAATAGCATTCTAGTTTGCTCAGTTTTTTTGTTAATTATTTCCAATGTGTCAAGTAATTATCTTTTTGTTTTCTCATGATTTGGTTGTGTTGTTGTTGTTGTTGTTGTCCTGGGGCTGTGTGGGGTCTGTTTGTGTTTGTGAACAGAGCTCCAGGAGCAGCTTACTTAGGGGACTCTTCTCCAAGTTCATCTATCTGTAGGTGATGGCTTTGTTATGGAAGGTTTGGGAATCGCTTTCTTTTAAGTGGTTATAGAATTTAACGGCTCTTTTCTGGATTTTGATCATTATCGGGTATCGGCTTAATTCTGCTCTGCATGCATTATTTGGTGTTTTTTGTTGTACACTGAGGACATCTTAGCTGAATTCTGCATGCAGAGTCTCAATTTGGTGTTTGTCCCATTTTGAGAATTTTTGGTTGGTGAGCGGACCCCAGACCTCACAACCATAAAGGGCAATCGGTTCTATAACTGATTCAAGTTTTTTTAGCCAGATCCTAATAGGTATGTTAAATTTTATGTTCCCTTTGATGGCATAGAAGGCCTTTCTTGCCTTGTCTCTCAGATTGTTCACAGCCTACCTGTGGCGCTGAGGTATGTATAGTTTTTTGTGTGCTCTCGCTTTCTCTCAACCACACTGGTGTTTTACATTTTGAATGCATGTCTTCATCGTCATCATGACAACTGACGTTTAACATGTTCTGTTTATCTTTCTCTCTCCCAGACTGTGAGGACTGCAAGTCTTTCTTCATGGATGAGTGTGAGCTCCATGGTCCCCCCCTCTTCGTCCCTGACATCCCTGCCCCTCTAGGAGCCTCTGACAGGGCCAGACTCACCCTGCCGTCCGGCCTGGAGGTCAGGACATCAAGCATCCCTGAAGCAGGACTGGGGGTGTTCAACCAAGGAAACATTGTGCCTGCAGGAGCCCATTATGGACCTTATGAAGGAGAGCTCACAGACAAGGACCAAGCCATGGAGAGTGGATACTCCTGGGTGGTGAGAGGAGTGTGTGTGTCATTGGGCTGTTCTTACATTTTCTCAAACCTGATCAAAACTCTATGAATATGAGTTGTTGTTTTCCTCAGATCTACAAGAGCAGACACTGGGAGGACTACATCGATGCTGGGAGAGACACTCACTCCAACTGGATGAGGTAAGCAACACTGAAGTACAGAGGAAGTCTCTCAGTCCTCTTTTTCCTGTCTCACTCTATCTGATGAACCTCAATAAATCCATGTCTTGTACATAATGAACCCCCTACTGCTCTCTCGCTCTCTCCTCTCTCTCTCTCTCTCTCTCTCTCTCTCTCTCTCTCTCTCTCTCTCTCTCTCTCTCTCCTCTCTCTCTCTCTCTCTCTCTCTCTCTCTCTCTCTCTCTCTCTCTCTCTCTCTCTCTCTCTCTCTCTCTCTCTCTCTCTCTCTCTCTCAGGTATGTGAACTGTGCTCGTAGTGAAGAAGAACAGAATCTGGTGGCCTTCCAGTACAGAGGAGGGATTCTGTATCGCTGCTGTAAGCCCATAGCTGTTGGCGAGGAGCTGTTGGTTTGGTACGGAGTGGAGTACGCCAGAGACCTGGGCATTGTCTTCGACTACCTCTGGGACAAAAAGAGCTCTGCTAAAGGTACTTTACTCTCTCTCCTCACTTCCTCCTCTCTTCATCCCTCTCTCTCTTCCTCTGGAACAACAAGAGCACTACCCTTACTTTATCCTCCGTTCACTCCTCTTACATTCATTTTATTTGTACCTCCTATTACTTAATTATTACTCATTAATACTAATTTCTCAAATGAAACTCATTATTGAGTTAAATATATTTTCTGTTGTGTTTTATCATACTGGTCCTGAGTTTTCTGTTCATGTCAAGTTGTCTGGAACAATAATGATCATGCACCTTGTGATCTTGTTATGTTTTCTCTTCTTTTAATTACTCTCTCTTTCTCTCTCCCCTCCATCTCTCTCAGATGTGAACGCTGAGTCATCCCAGTTCCAGATCTTCTCGTGCTCTGGCTGTCCGTTCTCCTTCACCTCTCAGATCTTCCTCCACAAGCACATAAAGAGATGTCACCATGATGAGTATGTCAGGCTTTTGAGGAGTGAGGAGATCAGATCAGAGAATCTCATGTCCTCCAGCAGCTCACAATACCATGGAACCACCTCAGGTTCCTCCAACCCAGCTCCCACCAGGAAACAGAGAGAGACGGACAAGCCACGACCACACAGCTGCTCTCAGTGTGGGAAGAGTTTCAGTTTAGAGGGTAATCTCATCAAACACCAGCGCACTCACACAGGAGAGAAGCTGTTCTACTGCTCCCAGTGTGGGAAGAGTTTCAGTCAAAAGGGTCATCTCAGAACACACCAGCTCACTCACACAGGAGAGAAGCTGTTCTACTGCTCCCAGTGTGGGAAGAGTTTCAGTCAAAAGGGTCATCTCAGAACACACCAGCTCACTCACACAGGAGAGAAGCCGTTCTACTGCTCCCAGTGTGGGAAGACTTTCAGTAGAGCAGGTCATCTCATCAGACACCAGCGCACTCACACAGGAGAGAAGCCGTTCCACTGCTCCCAGTGTGGGAAGAGTTTCAGTCAGTCGAGAAATCTAAAGAGACACCAGTGTTCTAAAAAGAGTAAAGAAGTGGAACTTTAGATTTCTCTTGAAATTGGGGCGGTGATGTGACCGTGATAGAAGTGTAATGTTCTATCAAGAAACATGACTGATGCATAGACACTGTTGAACTATTTGGATATAAATTATGATATTCATAAAACTGTCAACAGTTTTTTTATTATCTCAAAGTACTGTCATCGTAATATAATTTAATATGCAAAAATGTATGAATCGTATTTTATAGTTTGAAAATAATGAAATCTTACATAAATTAGATATGTATATAAACAGTAACTATTTAGAAAAGTCTTTATTAAACTGAAATGTATACCTCCCAAGTTATAAACATGACAAGGTTTTAATCCGTTTTCGTGTGATAATAAAATCAATTTATTTACTCTGTGTTCATCTGTGTATTTAGTGTCAGATATTAACAACTCACCCAGAAGGATTCACTCATCATCTTCATCCTCATCATTCCATCAATTCAATGTTGATTTCCTGATGATGAAGATGATGGTGATGATGATGATGGTGTGCACTCCATAAGTACATTTAAACTTTGATGATACATGTTTAATCATCTTCAGCTACTAGAAGCCTCTCTTCAGCCCGCCAACATGTATTAACTGAGCAGGAATGGTAAAGGAACTGACCAGTGTGAGACCATGAATTCAATTAATATCAGCCATTTAATAACACCTTTCAGTTGTCTAAATATTTCAAATAAAAACCACTTGAATACATACTGCAGGAGGGCTGCTGCTATATGGTAGATAAGCATTAGATTTGGGTTTTTCCCCCCAAGTAATTCCTTCAGTAAAAGTCCAGTCCCCGGATTCACAGTGTCTCTAAAGTTGGAGTAGTAATCTAGGACCAGGTCCCCTACTCCAGTGGTCCCCTACTCCAGTGGTCGCCAACTCCAGTCCTCCAGTACCCCCAACAGCCCAACTGCAGTCAGTGGATTAAAGTGACTAGGCATCAGGATAGATAATAATGTATTTGAGGTAGATATGTACTTGAAGGTAGGGTAAAGTGTCTAGGCATCAGGATAGATAATAAGAAGGTATTTCAGGTAATATTTTTACATTTAAGTCATTTAGCAGACGCTCTTATCCAGAGCGACTAACAGTTAGTGAGTGCATACATTTTCACACTGCCCCCCCCCCCCCCCCCCCGTGGGAAACAAACCCACATCCCTGCCGTTGCAAGCGCCATGCTCTACCAACTGAGCTACAGGGGACTACAAGTGAAGGCAGGGTAAAGTAACTAGGCATCAGGATAGATAATAATAAGGTATTTGAGGTAGATATCTACATAAAGGCAGGGTAAAGTGACTAGGCATCAGGATAGATAATAATAAGAGTAAAATAAACAATAGTGGCAGTATATGATGAGTATAAATGTGTGTTTGTGTGTGTGTATTGTGTCAGTATGTGTGTGTGTGTTTTGTGTGTGTGCGTTCATGTAGTATATGTGAATGTACAGTGGGGAAAAAAAGTATTTAGTCAACCACCAATTGTACAAGTTCTCCCACTTAAAAATATGAGAGAGGCCTGTAATTTTCATCATAGGTACACATCAACTATGACAGACAAATTGAGAATATTTTTTCCAGAAAATCACATTGTAGGATTTTTAATGAATTTATTTGCAAATTATGGTGGAAAATAAGTATTTGGTCACCTACAAACAAGCAAGATTTCTGGCTCTCACAGACCTGTAACTTCTTCTTTAAGAGGCTCCTCTGTCCTCCACCCGTTACCTGTATTAATGGCACCTGTTTGAACTAGTTATCAGTATAAAAGACACCTGTCCACAACCTCAAACAGTCACACTCCAAACTCCACTATGGCCAAGACCAAAGAGCTGTTAAAGGACACCAGAAACAAAATTGTAGACCTGCACCAGGCTGGGAAGACTGAATCTGCAATAGGTAAGCAGCTTGGTTTGAAGAAATCAACTGTGGGAGCAATTATTAGGAAATGGAAGACATACAAGACCACTGATAATCTCCCTCGATCTGGGGCTCCATGCAAGATCTCACCCCGTGGGGTCAAAATGATCACAAGAACGGTGAGCAAAAATCCCAGAACCACACGGGGGGACCTAGTGAATGACCTGCAGAGAGCTGGGACCAAAGTAACAAAACCTACCATCAGTAACACACTACGCCGCCAGGGACTCAAATCCTGCAGTGCCAGACGTGTCCCCCTGCTTAAGCCAGTACATGTCCAGGCCCGTCTGAAGTTTGCTAGAGTGCATTTGGATGATCCAGAAGAGGATTGGGAGAACGTCATATGGTCAGATGAAACCAAAATATAACTTTTTGGTAAAAACTCAACTCGTCGTGTTTGGAGGACAAAGAATGCTGAGTTGCATCCAAAGAACACCATACCTACTGTGAAGCATGGGGGTGGAAACATCATGCTTTGGGGCTGTTTTTCTGCAAAGGGACCAGGATGACTGATCCGTGTAAATGAAAGAATGAATGGGGCCATGTATCGTGAGATTTTGAGTGAAAACCTCCTTCCATCAGCAAGGGCATTGAAGATGAAACGTGGCTGGGTCTTTCAGCATGACAATGATCCCAAACACACCGCCTGGGCAACGAAGGAGTGGCTTCATAAGAAGCATTTCAAGGTCCTGGAGTGGCCTAGCCAGTCTCCAAATCTCAACCACATAGAATATCTTTGGAGGGAGTTGAAAGTCCGTGTTGCCCAGCGACAGCCCCAAAACATCACTGCTCTAGAGGAGATCTGCATGGAGGAATGGGCCAAAATACCAGCAACAGTGTGTGAAAACCTTGTGAAGAGTTACAGAAAACGTTTGACCTGTGTCATTGCCAACAAAGGGTATATAACAAAGTATTGAGAAACTTTTGTTATTGACCAAATACTTATTTTCCACCATAATTTGCAAATAAATTCATTAAAAATCCTACAATGTGATTTTCTGGAGAAAAAAAATCTCATTTTGTCTGTCATAGTTGACGTGTACCTATGATGAAAATTACAGGCCTCTCTCATCTTTTTAAATGGGAGAACTTGCACAATTGGTGGCTGACTAAATACTTTTTTCCCCCACTGTATGTAGTGGGTCTGTTGGTGGCACTCAAGTAGTTGGGAAACACTGTTCTACTCTAATACAGGGCTCTGGTCCCCTGCTCTAATACAGGTTCCTGGTCCCATACTCTAATACAGGGCTCTGGTCCCCTACTCTAATACAGGGCTCTGGTCCTCTACTCTAATACAGGGTTCTGGTCCCCTACTCTAATACAGGGCCCTGGTCCTCTACTCTAATACAGGGCCCTGGTCCTCTACTCTAATACAGGGCTCTGGTCCCCTACTCTAATACAGGGTTCTGGTCCCCTACTCTAATACAGGGCCCTGGTCCTCTACTCTAATACAGGGCTCTGGTCCCCTACTCTAATACAGGGCTCTGGTCCCCTACTCTAATACAGTGCTCTGGTCCCCTACTCTAATACAGGGCTCTGGTCCCCTACACTAAAACAGGGCTCTGGTCCCCTACTCTAATACAGGGCTCTGGTCCCCTACTCTAATACTTCTATCACACGCATCACAGAATCACCCACCGGCTATGGAGTCAGCGGGAGAAGAGCGCATGCCTGGAGTCGTATCACAGGTCCAGAAGCACTTCCGATCTGTCAAGACCAGCTGGCCAACCGGATCCAGCCACCTACACCCCAGCACCAGGAGGGATCCAGATATCCCGACCACGGACGTTTGATGGGACAGCGGCGCTGTGCCAGGGATTCCTTCTCCAATTGGAGCTTTACTTCGCCAGCATCAGGCCGGAACCATCGGAGCGGGAGAAGGTGTCCGTCCTCGTTTCCTGCCTCTGTGGGAAAGCCCTGGAGTGGGCCAACGTGGTGTGGAACGAGGGAGGAGCCGCGTTGGAGGACTACAGGGAGTTCGCTCGCCTCTTTCGGGTGGTATTCGACCACCCGCCCGAGGGTCGAGAGGCGGGTGAGCGACTGGTCCACCTGAGGCAGAGAATGAGGACCGCACAGGACTTCGCGTTGGAGTTCCGGACGCTGGCAGCGGGGTCTGGGTGGAATAAGCGGGCTCTGATCGACCATTTCCGGTGCCATCTGCGGGAGGACGTCCGACGGGAGCTAGCCTGCCGGAACACCATGTTGTCCTTCGATAAACTGGTGGACATGGCCATTCGATTGAACAACCTGCTGGCAGGCAGAGGACGTCCTGGTAGGGGTCTGCCTGTTTCCACCCCGGAGGACTCGGACCTCGAGCCAATGGAGCTGGGTGGAGCCGCCGGCCAAGAGAGCGAAGGACAGTGACAGTGGGACAATACACCACACGTCGTAGGGAAGGGACAATACACCACACGTCGTAGTCGACGTTCTTTTGGGCCGGGAGGCGGTAGGCAGGGCACTCAATCATCACCCCAGGTATCGAACACCCACACTCGTTCAGAGCCCTCTGCTGCGCACTGTAAAATACTTGTCTCCTTTTCTGAGCACATGGATGTTCCCCAGTATAAGGCACTATACGATTCAGGCGCAGCTGGGAACTTTATGGACAGGGCATTCGCACACAGTATAGGCATTCCATTAATTCCCCTATCCATTCCACGCCCCATTCGAGTTTGAGTTTGAGTTTGAGTTTATTTTTACAGGGACAGTGCACATTAATCAACGTTTCAGTAAAAGTGCCGGTTTTAGCCAGCCGGCTAATTTTCAACCGCACTTGATAGTCGACCATTAAGAGCACTTGATAGTCGACCATTAGGGTCCAGGTTGGTTAAGGAAGTTACTGCCCCAGTCACCATGATTACCCAGGAGACTCATTGTGAGCAGGTTACTTTTTCCATTATTGAGTCTCCTGCTTTCCCTGTGTTATTAGGTATCCCTTGGCTAGCACTCCACAACCCCACCTTCTCATGGCCGCAGAGGGCTCTCACGGGGTGGTTGCGAGAGTGTCAGGGTAGGTGTCTAGGTGTTTCCGTTGGTGCAACCATGGTGGAAAGTCCAGACAGTACCTCCACCGTGCTCATTCCCCCTGAATACCTAGATCTGGCGCAAGCGT